TAAAGCAGTAGTTTTAGCAAGAATTTATGACTGAACATTTAATCTAAAGGGGAAAAGTTGGGTGAAAATTGAAAATGAACTTAGTGGAACTAGTTTAAGTAAGATGATATGGGTCCCGGCACAGTATAGAGGAATTAAAGCTAGCACAAGTATCTACACTTTAAATGTTTTAAGGGTATGGGATAATTTGCACAAAAACATGAAATGGGATTTTAATTCTATATTAATGCCACTAGCAAACACTGAGTATTTCCCTCCAGGAATGGAAGAGATAACAGGGAGATGGCTTAAAAAGGAAGATATTCAATTGAGAGGTTTTGGTAGAGGGGGAACTGAGACCATTTAAAGATTTAGAAGAGAAGAAGGGAGAGATTTTTATTAGGATAGATGAGTGGAAATATCATCAATTGAAATGTTTCATTGGAAATCTCCCGAAACCCTTGAGATTAAAAAAGAATTGGAATATGTTTGAAAGGCTGTTAGAAACACGAAGGGATGGGAAGCACGGTATTGCCAAAATATATAGAATACTCACAGAATTAGACACGAACACAATGTTAATTTTTTATAACAAAATGGGAAAGAGACATGGAAGTGGTCTTAGATGAGGATAAACAGAAAAAGATATTTAGATTGATACACGAGAATGTTAGTATGAGAGAGGTAGAGATAAATTATAAGTGTTTGACAAGATGGCACATTACACCGAGTGTTGAGCACAAGATGAGTGGGGAGAACTCAAAAATGTGTTGGAGAGGATGTGGGGAGATGGGCACAGTTTTTCACATATGGTGGGAATGTCCGAAAATTCAAGCTTTTTGGAAGACAATAGTTAAATTGATTGAAATAATAACTGGAAATGACATAGGGTTAGACCCAACGATTTCCCTCTTACACAATGTCGAGACATCAGTAAACAAATACAAAGAATCAGGCGTATGGTACTACCTAAATGCTGCAAAAGGTTTGATACCCAAGTTTTGGCAGAAAACAGAGGTGCCGAAGGAGGAAGACTGGGTCAATAGAGTAAAAACCAGATTGGTAGAATGGAAAAACTTTACCATATGCAGGAAGACAGGATGGGGGTATATTATATGAGATGGGGAAAAATGGGAAAAATCTGGATTGAAAGAGAAATATAGAAAGGTATAAACTAGGACGATAGCTAAAGTCATCAGGCCTTGAGAGAATAGAGTGGGAGAGAGCATGCAGAGGGGAGGGAGGGGGGTGGGGTTTGGGAAAGGGCGGGGAGGGCCTGAAAGAAAATAGTTTTTAGAGGGGGAAATGTAGAAATGTTATAGATATTTATATGTGTTTTGTTTTTTCCGATGCATATTTGTAATAACGTGAAAAATCAATAAATATTTAAATAAAAAAATGAAATACAGGTGGACTCTATTTACTAATTAGGTGACTTCTGAAGGCAATTGTTTCCACTAGATTTTAGTTAGGGACGAAGGGGGCTGAATACAATTGCATGCCACGCTTTTCAGATATTTATTTGTAAAAAAAAAATTGAAAATAATTTATCCTTTTCCTTCTACTTCACAATTATTTGCCACTTTGTGTTAGTCTATCACATAAAATCCCAATAAAATATATTTACGGTTTCGGTTATAACATGACAAAATGTGGAAAATGTCAAGGGGTATGAATACTTTTCCAAGGCACTGTATATTCTATAAAGTCTCAGGGGAGTATAATATACTCTGTGTGGAAATTTAGTCTGTATGAGCTTATCTCTGGGGTAAATGTCCAATTTAGGACAGTGTTCTAGACACTCCTCCCAATCTTCCCCATCTAGGGACAGGATATCACCCTTGCACAGGTCCCATATCCGTTCGATTTTAGGAGAGTCCGCACTCAGGAGGGCTCCTTATAGAATAGACCGAGTTTTATTGAGGTCACCCTGGGCCAACAACTCTTCTATAGGAACAGCTTGGAGGAGAGGTGTCTTAGGAAATTGAGATCTGGTAGCATGTCATAGTTGAAAATATCGAAACGACATTCAGCTCGGCAACTAAAGCGACAGAGAGTTGTATAAGGAAACAGTGGGCATAATAGCTCTCAGGGTTTGACCCCATATCTTGCCCAGATTTGGGGGTCTGGAGTAGTACGGAAATGTGATAAATTAGGATTACCCCATAAGGGTTGGGTAAGCAGGGGGCAACTGATTGAACCGCAGAAAGCTGTGTCTGGCAATAGCCAAAACCCTCAGAGTGGCCCAAGTAGGGCTCGGAACAGCGTCATAAGCCATAAGCCCTAGCCCCCCTACACACCAAATTACGGAGGTTAGACAGGAAGCCCAAGAAGGCAGCCTCCAAGCAAACCACAGCATTAGAATGTGAACATTCAAACTACCAGTAAAAAGTTACCAAAATCGCCGCCCAGAAGTACACTTTAAAATTAGGCAGAGCCAGGCCCCCCAAGTCACATTGGGGAGATGCAGAGTAGATTTCACTTTTTAGGGAAGGGCACCATTTGATATAAAGGAGCTCACACAGCGGTTTACAGCGAGTAGAATTAAGTATTGAACAACACATCACCATTTTTCTATGTAAATATATTTCTAAAGGTGCCATTGAATACTTATTTTACCCACTGTATGTCTTGGGATAAAAAGCCAGGAACACAAACTGGACAGTGCTGGAATATATAGTTGAATTTAGGCAAGATCATCATCTTGACGAGATTTATTTGCCCCAAGAGGTTAAGTGCCATTCCACATACAGTATATGCTGATTTGAATGCAGTTTGAACCTCATCCAATCCACATGACATGTGAAAAAACATTGCTTCCTATGGTGCTTGTTCACATATGTCCGGTGTACTGATGGTACGGATTTAGTGCGGTTTGAAAAAGAGTCCTGTAAGATTTCTGAACAGTACAGTCCGATTTAGGTGCGGATTACAGAATATTGCCTTTTATGGGAACTGTTTCTAAAACGTATATGTGTGAACAGGTTAATCCTGAGAGCTAATCCTGTTCTGAACCTGATGTAAACATGCCATGAACCGGTGAACAACTACTGTGTCAGTTAGCTGTAAAACCTGAGCTTCAGTCTGCACCGCACCTGTGTGAATCAGCTCTTAGTGGGAGACTAGACCAAGAGACACACCATTCCTGGAGTAGTGAAAGCAGGGGAAGAAGGTTATGAGACGTGAACAGCGTCCGGTCTGGAGTCACCTGAACCCCTAAATAACTAAATCAATTCACCCAGCAACATGCCAATAGTGAAGCCCGATCGTCAAGAGGAAAGCAAACGGAGTAGGACCAATTAATACGAATACCTGAGAAGGACCCGAAGGTATAAAAAATCTCCAAAGCTTTCCAGAGTAACAGGTCCACGTCGTTTAGGTATAGTAAAGTGTTGTCCATGTTTAAGGACAACCGCAAGCCCTGGACCGCTGAAGACTCCCTGACTAAAATCGCCAGAAGCTCCAGGGTCAGGGCAAACAGACTGGGGGGGGGGGGGAGAGGACAGCTCTGACGGGCTGCCCCTATAGAGTAAGAAAGGGTTAGAGAGCCAGTCACCAGTGCGGACCCTTGCCCGGGGAGCTCTGTACAGTAATTGAAGCCAATGGAGAAATTTAGGGCCAAACCAAATTGTTGGAGAACCTCCCAAATATCTTCCCACTCCACCAAATCAAACGCCTTTTTGGCGTCAAGGGAAGCTATCACCCTAGTGCCACAGTTCTCATGCTCCAAAGAAAGGTTCTATAAAAGGCATCTGAAATTGAGGTCTGTGACCTTGCCCGGCATAAAGCCTGTTTGGTCCACGTGAATCAAGTCATCTATCACCTTAGAAAGATGACCAGCCAGTACCTTGGCAAGAATCTTTGCATCAAAATCTAACAGAGAAAGCAGCCTGTAAAAAGCATAATCCTTCGGGTCCTTACCCAGCTTGAGCACTAGCATAATAACTGCCTCCTCCATAGACACCGGGAGAGATTCCAAAGTGGTATGTTTGGAAAATAGAGCCATAAGCCTAGGAGCCAGAAGTTCTTTAAATCGGGCATAGAATTCAGTCAGTATACCATCCACCCATCCGCCTCCTGGACCTTCTCAAAAGAAATATCTGAATCGAGCTTTTCCCTGTCAGAGACCTACAACATGGAAAATTAGATGGTCTAGAAAAGATAGATGCTTAGAAGAAGTGAGTCTTGCCCTAAGAGAGTATAACTCCTGATAAAATTACAGAAAACAAGCAGTAATCAAATCAGGAGAGGTCAATAGGTAGCCAGATGCGTCCCAAATACTTCAACATGCGTAGAGGAAATCACTTTAGTAGACACCACTACTACAATGATTACTGCTAACTTCCAAGTCCCTTGTTGAGCAGATGCCATGCTTCATAGCAAACAGAGAAGCTTGCTCGCTTGGCCACGACTTAGAGAACATTTTGTAATTTCAGAGTGAATGCAGCGTTTCCTCTGATTTTGAATGTGGTGAAGATTGTGGGGTCACTGCCCCACTTCTCCATCTTGTTCAACTTGTTCACTTCTCCAACTTGCACATCCTGACTACTGCTGGTTCCATCTGTTTTAGTGTGTAGACTTGCTGTGGTTCTTCCTGCCATCTCGTAAGCCCTACAAGGATATATGAGGCACTGAGAGCAACTGCAGTGTGAAGCAGGGGGAGAGCTATTCATTCTACCCTGAAGGGTTGAATACCTGCAGCGGCCAGGGAGAAGCAAAGTGGTTGTGTTTGCCTCCTCTTTTTAGAGAGTTCCCATTGTGGCGACAGGGTAAATTTAAGGTAGAAAATGTTAGCATAAGGGCGGGAATCGGGAATGGGTGATAGTGGTATAAGTTGTAGATGGCTGATATCATTTGTATAAGCAAATTTGTGATGTTATTTGCAGTCTTGGTTAAGAGTTTAAAAATACAAAAAAACACTGCTACATTTTTGGTAGTACATCCAATGATAAAAGCTGAACCTGTGTTTTAATATATAAACATTCATTATTCTTTTATTTCTCATTTGCGTATTGTGACAGAAAAGTAAAGAGAAAGAAGAAAAGACAAAACGCAAGAAATCGGTGACTAGTACTTCTAAGGAGGATGAGGCAGCAGTAAAACCCGAAGAGGATAAAGCAGATGACAAAGCAGCTTCAGATGTGAGAGGAATGTTATGTTTATTGTAGTGTTTTGTGTAGAATGTGATTTTGTGTTTTTCAACTTACTGGGTGTATATGTACATTCTGTTATACTCCACTGTAGCAAAACCTTTAACAGGAGAAATATGTTAGCTGCCATTTCTGATCTCCTCCTGATAATGCTGGATTCTCTCTCATCCATTAAGAAATAACCTAAATTTCCTAGTAGGTTGGGTGCCTTTTTTAAGTATTTTTGCTAGCCTTGACATTTTTTTTATCTGTGACTTCAATCAAGATTTCTCCCTGACACTGCCTTTTGAGCTGGTCTCTATGTAGCAGCTATCTAGATCTGTGTTTCCTAAGTTACAGTCTTGGAGTCCAAATGCTCAACCCCCTGGCCTGCTTGTGTAGGGTTAACATGGAATGTTGAGTGTACTTTGTTAGCCACAGAGCACTTTCCAGACCTAAAGCTATCGGAGAGCCCCAGGTATGGCTTTGTCTCTGAAGACTCACTAAGTAAGACCAGTCAGGCTGAAGCACCATGAGCTACCCCACTTTTTTTTGCTCCCTTTTAAAATAGCTACCACTGCTAGTTTACTGCAGCTTTGTCCTCTGGGTGAAGTGACGCATGCACACTTCTTGCTGTCTTTCCTGTCTTGAGGAAGCATCATCCTACTGCTGTTCTTGCTCTTGAAGCACCATGTGAGTCTCTGGTCTCAAGTTCGTTTCCACTGCTCATCTACATTCACCTGGTCACCTCCGCCCTTCTAAAATCCTCATGAGCATCAGTTGCCTGGGTTTTGTGAGTACCTTGCCTAACATTGGGCGTGTGTGGACACGTGAGCTCAGCCCATATTCCTCTAATGGTTCTGTGGGTGTTTTTGGCAACCCGTCGATCATGATCTACCTGTCGACCATGGGCAGGTGAAAGGTAGATCGCAAAAATGTCTCTGCTTTGCTGACCCCTGCCACATAGGTGCCACTCCTTCCCCCCCCCCCCCCCCCCCCCCCCCCCAGCCTGTGCTGCTCTCATGCTCATGGCAGAACTGTGAGCAGGAGGCAGCACAGCTCAGGACGAAGTGTGGGAGTTGGCCAGAGGACAGTGCTGGGGGGGAGTGGGGGCTGATGTGAAGGGGGCAGAGGACACCGCTATGGGCAGGGCTTGTGCCAGCATAAGGCTGCATACGCCTTAGGGCGCCAGAATGGTGGTGGGGGGGGGGGGGGGGGGGGTGGATTCAGATTTTTAAAATGTCTTCCAGAAATCCTCTGTGTTTTCCTCCTGCAGCAGTTGAAAGTCAGCTTCTCCTCCTCTCCCTCCTGCCAACATTCAGCTGCTGCAGGAGGAAAATCCGGTGGTTCCAGGAAATGCCTCCCTCGCTGCCACACCTATCCTTTTTCCTCTTTTTTTCTGCTGCCCGGGTCCCCTCCATGTGCTCCCCTTTCACCAAAGCAACAACCCAACAAGGCTCCTTTTAAAAAAAAAAAATATATATATATAGTAAAAAAAAATAATAAAATGGTAAAATTATAATTAAAAAAAAAAACCTACTGACACTGTCCACTGCCTTGCTGACACCGTCCATTGCCCTTTTGACTCTGTCCAGTGCTCTACTGATTGACACAGTCCTCTTTTAAGGTAGGCCAAGTTTATATTTTTACAGTGACATTTGTTTTATTATATTTTTCTAAGTTTTCCTTACTATTTAGATAGGCCTTGCTAGTTCATTTCTTTTTTAAAAAAGGGCGCTGAACCCTGGTGACCTTTTGATCTCTTTCATGTTGTTCAGGTAGATCTCCACCTCTCAAAGGTTGCCTACCACTGCCCTAAGGGAACCAGCTCCTGTAAACTAGAGCCTGAAACCCTTATTGTTTTAGTCTTCTTTAGCTCCATAAGGTGAGACTGAGTCTTCCCCCATGTCCACTTGGGATTCCTTAGTTGCTTGTGCTCAGTCATTGGGGCTTTCTGCCTGCAAAGGCTGTAAGCGCACTCTGGTGCCATCCCCCGCAGAGTCTATCTCTGACCCTCCTGAGCTCCTAAAACTTTTTTCTTAATTGTACAGTATAGGACACTATCAAGATATTCATAGATTCTGGATTATAGGCTTGTAATTTCAGACGCTTGGACACTGGCAAGCTTTTGAGGACATGCCAAATGGGTTCCTCCCCTTTAACCCTACCCTACACCTTAATTCCTCAGTTTTATCCTAGTGTCCTAAGGTGATGGACCTCTTCTGCATTAAAAAATGACTGCTTGCTTAGCTAGTTTATTATGTTATTTTTTTTATATTTCATCTTTGGATTTTTCAGTCTACTCATTAGTGTCTTCTAATGCCACAAAATAGAAGCAGTATATGCAGATCGGCACAACCTCTGTAAACCTTGGGAGCTGCACCTGCACCCTTCATTGTAGAGATGGCCTGTAATGTTGCTCTGGGCACTGGGTGCTGTTTGGGTGCTCACCTTTGCACTGTGTGCAGTCAGCCACACGGTGCTATACAGGTCCAGGACTAGTGTCCATTGCTGTGGAACCCAGTCCCTAAAGACCCATTATAAAGCCCAGTGTCATGTAGAGGTAAGACAAGGTCAACTTGTAGGCTTCTGTGTGCTGCTGTAAAAGTCCTGGACTATATTTCAATAGTTTTAGCTACAGTGTAAGCTTTTTAATTTGGCAATAAAACTGTACCACTCAGAGCTTAGTCTCAGGTGGATGACCAGGTGTTAAATCACACCATAGGTCAGACACTTTACCACCACTTATACCTAGAGCCCTTTTATGGTGTTTAGGCGCTACAGGACAATCACCTGGATTGCTGTTCTCTTCTGGACACATTTGGCATATGTTGGGCACCCTACAGGGGAATACCTTCACGTGTAGCTATGGCGGAAATGAGACACAAGGAGAGCCATGCATAACTGCAGATGAACATTCGCTCTGTCAAAGGCCTGCACAGCACTAAATATCAGGATGATGCATCCCCTGCAGCAAAGCAGGAGCCAGCTCTAACTCTGGTCTCTGCATCTGATGCTAGCTGTATTTCAGGCACACAACAAGCGACCTACCTGACAAGCATATTTTTTTTCATCTGTTATAGTTGAATTATTCAGAGAACTCTGTAAATGAATGACGCGGCCACGTGGATGGAGCCCCACACGGCCACGCTCTCCTTAGATAGTGACAGCCGGTACGGCGAACTTCTCCCGGCACTGCTATCACACACAGGGCTTGGATCACTGAGCCACTGCAGGAGCAGAAACATGTCACATGATCCGCCTTAAAAACCGTTCCCAAAGGTAAACATCCTTTAATTCTTCTCCATCTCACCATGCCTCTTTGGGCACAAAGAGTCCTGCAAAATATTTAAAGACTTTCCTTTCCCCATCTTGTTGTTATTTTGTTGTTGCCTTCCACCAGTCTGGAGTTGTGGTATAACTTTCATCCCTGAATGCCTTTGTAGGCCTACTTGTTGTGTACCTTTCCCCCGTTTTCAGTTAGGGAGTGTAAGGTTTGGACCTTCATATGCAGACTGGCTGGTCTACCCTTGTGGTCCTGTTTTTGTCCAAGATTTTTTCTGGGCTGTTGACCTGCCCTAGTGTTTTTTCTGTTGATGGCTTCATATTGTTGCTCTATATCTAACCAGATATTGTTTCACCTGTTTTTGAGGCTTTTGGTTTCACAGCCTCTCGCTGGTTCAGACTCTGTGTTCCTTCGGGTGCAGTCATTCACGTTGGTGGTGATCTCTGTCTTGGTCTTGAGCATCAGGTTGATCCTCTGTTTGCCTTGCAGGGAGCTTCTTCTCATCTGGGTCAAGTTCTCGGGTGTTGGTCCTTCAGATAGTTCTGAGTTGCATATAGTTCCCAGTCCCTTCTCATGCGCTTGTCATTGGCTGTTGCTCACCCCTCAGTTGTATTGCTTTTCTGTACTGACTGTTTCTAACTGTATTCCTTAATGGATGAGAGAGAAAATGTTATTTTCGTGACTGTCTGCATTTAGAGTCAAAGACACTAAGGCATTCAGCAAGGAAAGTCAGAGAACTCCTCATATGCATATAGCAGTAAAGCCTAAGGATTAACATGACAGCTAGGCAGCTAGCATTTTCAATAGGTCAGCTTTAGCCTACCCTATAGCTTTCATTGCACATTTTGCTTGACCCATTTAGGATATATTTATAGATCTTGCCCTTGGAGTGGCTCAGGCGCAGGAATTCGGCTGTCAGACAGCTTTTCTTTTCAGTGTGTTGAACTGAAGCAGACCAGTTTTTAGTTTTTTATGAAAAAAATCAAATATCAAAAAATCCTTATTTGAGCACTGAACTAGTACTGTAATGCTAAAGCAAAATGCTGCACCATCCTTATGATTTCAACATTTTTAGTCAGCAGGTGGGCAGAGCTTCATCATCTTGTTTGTGTGTTGTTTTGGTGTAACTAATCAAGTGATTGTAGTGTTGTAGTCTTGTCTGTTACTCACATTGTGTGTGTTTAGCCACTATTTCCCTTGTGTGTACTTTAGCTCTCCCTTGTTCAATCACTGGATCTTTGGTTTTCAGGATATGGATTTCTGGCTAACTAGCTCCTTGGCCCCAGCACAGGCACAGGTTGGTAGATTGGCAAGGCAGTAAGTACCTTTAGTTAAATTGATTTTAAAAAAGTGTACCTTTTGTAATAAAAGAATACTGTAAGTTTTGATCCCTCTACTTGTGTGATATATTAAGTGGAATTTTCAGTAATAAATAATTTCTACAGTCCAGAAATTCTTTAGAATTAGCTGTAGCTGAGAGAGCATACTCTTCATGAAATTCAGCTCTCTGCAGCAACCTGGGTATATTATACCGCCTCTGCATCCCACAGTGCTGTATGGTATATCTGTACTGGCTTCTGATGTTCCTACATTGCAGTGTCATTTGAATCCAGAAGGGGATAATCGACAAATGGTAGGAGATGTTTGCTTAGTTTGGCTGCTGGTGTATTCATCTTAGACTGGTTCATTTTAAACCTGAAGGAATTCTGGAGACAGTGAGGAATATTGTTTTTATTTTTGCTGTCTTTCAAAGGGAGACACCCTAGAAACCTTGTAGGTATCATGACAGTGCTGTGCCCTGCCACAGTGTGAAAAAGTGTTTGTGTCACCTAGAGCTCTCATTCAGGCTGGTTGAGGGGGCTCCATAGTGCTTGTCTCATACAGGGGAAACTTTGAGGTTCAGTTTCCTCAGAAGTTGGTAAAATCTGATTTGGAATCTCGAGTCTGGAGGCTTCATAGAGACTTGTAGGGATGAAGTCTTCAATCCTGGGTCCTGGCTTTGTGGTGGACAGCCTACACACTGAGTGTGCAGAACTTTTATTTGAGACATAACTGGTTTAGGACTCCACCCCAACACACAGATGAGGTCTCTGCCCACTAAGGGGGGCTCCATCAAGCAGACATGTGCATCAAGGAACTGCTAGGTGCATGTGTTTATATGAGAAGACTTGTCTGGAGGAGCAGACAAGGGCCTGAAGTGTGAGGTCAGGGCAGCAGCGCTGCAAGCGTCAGCCAGGAGGCTGATGACCATTTATTTTGCACTGGAGAATGCTAAAAAAGCCCTGGGAAGGAAACCATGTATTGACTTGAAATGTATTTTAATATAACTGGGCAAGAAAAGCTTATTACTCAGAAAGTTTGAACCAGCTAAATACTTGAAGATCCCAGTAAGGCTGTAGAGAAACGGAAAGAGAAAGGAAATCGGAGCCAATGTGTGTGTAAAATGCCTCTTATAGCCAATTGTCTCTGGGGGTGAAAACTAGGCTTGTTTTTATGTTACCTTAAAGTGGTTCTAAAGGCTGAAGTTTTTTTTTACCTTCATGCATTTTATGCATGAAAGTAGTAAAAAAAACCTTCAGTGTGCAGCTCTCCCCCTCAGCCCCCCAATACTTTACTTACCTGAGCCTGATCCTGCGATGTCCATGAGGGCAGCAGCTCTCCCGTTGGCCATTGGCTCTCACTGCTGTCAGTTACAGCCACTAAGGAGGGAGCGGGGGACAGGGCAGTAAATTCACTTCTTGAAATGTAAAGGGTCTACCTGTCAAAATATGAATTCTTCTCAGTCAATTTCCTAATCCCTGCCCAGATATGTCCTAGGTCCTAACCACTCACTTTCCTCCACTGCATTTAGATTGTTTCATAAATGTTCCCTTTCATATGCCACTTCACTTTATACAGTGGCAAAAATAATTATTTGTCCCCTTGCATATTTTGTACATGTGCCCACTTACAAAGAAATGAAGGGTCTATCATTTTTATCATAGGTGTATTTTAAATGATAGAGACAGAATATCAACCAAACACAATACAAGTGTTATAAATTGAGTTGCAGTTCAGTGAGTAAAATAGGTATTTGGTCCTCATGCAAAATATGACTTCGTACTTGGTGGAGAAACTCTTGTTGGCAAGCAGAGGGGGTAAGACATTTCTTGTAATTGGTTACCAAGTTTGCACACATTTCATGATTTTGGTCCACTCTTTACAGATCTTCTCTAAATTCCTTAAGGTTTCTTGGCTGTCACTTGCCAACTCAAGTTTCAGCTCCCTCCATAAATTTTCTTTAGGATTAAGGTCTGGAGACTGACTAGGCCACACCAGGACTTTAATGTGCTTCTTCTTGAGCCACTCCTTTGTTGCCTTGGAGGCGTGTTTTGGGTCCTTGTCATGCTGAAAGACCCATCCACGACCCATCTTCAGTGTTCTGGTTGAGGGAAGAAGGTTATTATTCAAGACACATTAAGGTCATGGAGTGGCCTAGCCAGTCTCGAGACCTTAATCCTAAAGAAAATGTATGGAAGGAGCTGAAACCTTAAGGATTTAGGGAAGATCTATAAAGAAGAGTGGACCAAAATCCCTCCTGAGATGTTTGCAAACCTGGTAACCAACTACAAGAAACGTCTTACCCCTCTGCTTGCCTACAAGGGTTTCTCCACCAAGTACAAAATCATATCTTGCTTGGGGATCAAATACTTTTTTACTCACTGCACTGAAACTCCATTTGTAACATTTGTATCGTGTGTTTTTCTGGATTTTTGGTTGATTTTCTCACTTTATCATTTAGAAATACACCTATGATAAAAATTATACACCGTTCATATCTTTTTAAGTGGGGAAACTTACAAAATTAGCAGGGGATCAAATAATTATTTTCCCCACTGTACATTATTCCTTTTTATCTGTGTGTTTTTTTCTGAGTAAAATGAATACATCTTTTCAACTTCCTCCTTTTAGATAACAATAAAAAATAGAAGTAAAGAATAGAAAACCCAGCATATTGGCAGTATCGGCTACATGTTCTAATACATAATAATAAAACACTTTGAGCAAGAAAAAACCATGAGAACAATACATGCAAACTTGTATGTAACATTTCATGTACCATGAAACATACTTTAAATTGTGTAACTTCCCTATGACTCCAACCATACCCCCCATGGGAGATTGATTGGAAAAGGGTATTTTGATTTCTCCAGAGTGAGTAGAAGTCTGAATATATAAATATCATATAATAAAAGTCTGCGTACAAAGATTATATATCACAAGTGCCAAAAGGTCAAATCAAATGAAAGAAGAAATAGAAATATTCAGCGTGAATGATGTCCAAACAGGAGTACTGTAATTAGGGTGTATGTGTTATATGTTGATGGTGCATGTGGGAACCTGTAAGTAAATCAAATCAATCCACGATCTGTATGCAGCTGTGAGACACAGAGGCAGGAAGTAGAAACCGTAAAGTACTCTGTAAATGAAATACTCTGCTCCCTGAAGAGCTGTCCACAAAATAAGCCTACACACCCTCCCTCACAGTTAGCTGCTTTAGAGCTTCTTCGCCCCATGTCTGCTGAGCTGTGTTTTTCTATACTCTATCCCACATATATGGTGTGAATAGAGCACAAGCCCTTGGGGCCCACAGTGATTTAGTGTGCAGCAGCTGTCCATTCTGGTAGCAGTGAGCCAGTGGTAGCGAGCTGTGTGACGTGCATTTAATCACATCAGAACTCCCTTTTTTTTCTTTGTAAACTTTACATGAAGTGCATAAAGCCACGTCTCCACACAGCAGCGTGGTGACATACAGGGCTGCCCAGAGAGTTGCGATATTTTGCAAACGTATTGCATAATATCACTCAGCTGTAGAACGCATTCTGGTGTGAACATGACACATAGAAAACTTTTTGTTTTCTATGTGTCAGTGCAGTTACTGTGTTTAGGCAATAAGCAAGAGCCCTTATAGTATTTGAGATCAAATTCATTGCCAAGACCCTGTTCACTTCTCTCCACCTCCACTGTGACGCAATATTTAGGTATATGCATCTTTCTTTTGCAGGATAGTTAGTATAGGTGTTAGAAGGGGAGTGGGAGCAGTTTTAAGATTAGTTATTAAAAGCCCAGAATTCCAATTTAAGCAGGTAAAAAACCTACATAGTTCTTTTTTTTATGAGGCTGGATAGCGATGTTTTGTATAATTCACCTTATCTGTACTTTTGTAGATCTTTATTATCATGTGTAACTAAATTTGAGCACAGTCTGTCCTAACAAACGTGTAAAGGTTTAGAGACTGGGCTTCTTGCAATGTATGTTAAAGTACAGACTAATCTCTAATATTGATCAAAAAACATTGCAGTCAGCTATGACACCTTCTCCTGAGAAACATCTGAATACGAAAAAATCCTAAAGAAAAATAAGTAAGCATGCTGTGTGGATGGGAACACATAATAAACATATAGTGGGTTGTTCTTAGTTTGACTGCAAAGGTAGAAATATTTTAAATCGCCAAAATATTAAGGCCTTGGCAAAATCATTTTTTATCTTAAAGTGATACTTAAGGTAATAAAAAAAAACAAAAACAAATAACATGTTATAATTACCTGCTCTGTGCAGTGGTTTTGCACAGAACAGCCCCGATCCTCCTCTTCTCGGGTCCCCTTCTGGTCCTCCTGGGTCCTCCCCCCTGCTGAGTGCCCTAATAGCAAATTGCTTGCTGTGGAGGCACTTGTGCTTGCTCGATTCCGAGCCCTGCTCTGTGTGTCCATTGACACACACAGCATGGTTCAGCCCCACCCCCCAACTCCCTCCTCACTGCTTGTGGTTGACAGCAACAGGAAGTAATGGCTCCCGCTGCTGTCTCTGAGCTAATAAGGAGGGAGAGAGCCAGGAGAGCAGCTACTCTTGTGCACGTCACTGGATCGAAATTTGGGGGGGGGGGGGGGGGGGGGGGGGGGGGGGGGGGGGGGGGGGGGGGGGGTCTGCACACAGAAGGTTTTTTTTTATCTTCATGCATGCATGAAGGTAAAAAAAACCTTCAGCCTTTAGAACCACTCTAATTTCACCTGGACTCCTTTTTTTAAATGTGTATATGGGTCAATAAGGAGGTGCTGTGTGGAAACTATATGACAAGTATTTTTTTCTAAGCTTTTGTATATTCTCCCTCTAAACATGGAGTTTCACACAGTTCACCCATGTCAGTGATGATTCATTGAGTCTTTGCACTCATACTATGATTGAGAAAAAAAACAGCAGTGTTGTGGTAACCTGCTCGGGAGGTAATATCACCATAACAGTGGTAAGTAGTAACCAGTAAACCAGGAAACTGGGAGCCTTGATGGTTGTATGTTTGTGTTGTGTGGATGGGGTGGTATTGTTGTTGGCATTTCAATACCCCTAGACAAATTAATAGAAATGATACAGTACTGTGAGCTTTGAAGGAAAAAAACATTTTATTGTATCACAGGGGCCTTCCACTGAGACTGTGCCTGAACCAATTGAAACAACGGAGGAACCAGTGGAAGCAGTATCAGTACAAGTAGAAAAATATGAGGAAGATACAGAGAAGGTAATTAACAGATCTCTCTTTGAAATGCAGGGGCATACTTTTTTAATTTACAAAGAGGGAATTACATTTCTTTTTGGGCTAATCCATGATTACCCGGTTTCTGTTACAAAGTGGAGAAAATGTTGTTGGGACAATCTCAAAATTATTGCTTGCCATTAAAACAGGTTTGATATGCTGGCTCCTCAAAAAGGTTTTGTAATATTACTTATCAAGCTGTGAGAAAAAATATGTGAACCCTTAGCGGTTGCTTCATAATGTGATCTGATCTTCTTTAAGTCATAATAGTTAAGGTGGAACTTTGTGCAAAATGAAAGACATTTGGTAAAGTCTGTCACACTGTCACATAAACGCAGCAGTTTTTCTCCTCTCTGATATAGATGTAAAGTATGGCAAAAAAAAGTTTTAGGTTTTGGACAGAGTGGACAGGGACTTGAAAACCTATTAGTTTTTTATTGCTGTCTGGGCCCCATTAGGCAGATTCACCCTCTTTGTCCTGTCTATCATTATCATTTAAACTGAAAGTAAAAGAAAACCCTAAATTTTCGGTTGTCCTCAGAAATGTAATAGAGGGGAAATTTTCCAATGATGACTCTAGTTTTGGTGATCTGGGGGTCTCCAATGAATTTCCTTAATTTGCAGGATTTTCCCTTGCTTCCTGTTTTGGCTTCGGGACAGGAAGTGAAGGTAAATCTTCCCAATGGGACACAGATGGGTTATAACACTCCCTGACTCTATCCAATGGAAAAAAAAAAATATTGCCTATAGCTATACTTTAATACCTGTTGACCTTACCAGTAGATCTGTTTTTTCCACTTCCTTTGCAAGGCTAAGGTGTCCAGCAAAAGTTTTAAATACAGGAATGGCAAGAAGCCAGTTTAAAAGGTGATAGTTGTGAAAACCCCTGTTCATTTACTACTTACCGGTATCATTCCAATGATACAGAATTATTTAGTGTTGGTTACCATGTTTGTAACCCTTGCTAATTATTCTGTGATACCTGACCATTATTTAGACCCTGCGTGGGCAATTCACATGCTTGCTTTCGATTTTTCTTAAGCTGATTTATAAAACCAATAAATATACTGAAACTGAAAAAGCCCTCTTTTTTTTTTTTTTGAAAGAGGATGTTATGGTGAGTAAATAGATATCCAGCATGTCACGCTGTAAAATTGTGCACACTCGTGGAATGGAGTGAAACTGCGGTACTTAAAAATCTCCATGGGTGATGCTTTAAAAAGTTCTACAGGTTAGCAGTGTAAAGTTACAGAGGAGGTCTAGTGCGAGAATTATTGCTCTTTCTCTGACGTTCGTGGCGATACCTCACGTGTGTGGTTTTAACATCATTTACATATGTGGGCATGGCCTACGTATGCGTTCACCACTACATGCGAGGGGGGATGGGGGGCACTTTAAACTTTTTTTTTTTTTTTAAAAAGTATTTTTTATTTTTTTTTGCACTGTTCCTTTAAAAAAAAATTTATTCACTTTTATTCTTATCACAAGAAATGCATGCATCCCTTGTGATAGAAAAAATTAGTGACAGGTCCTCTTTATGGAGAGATATGGGGTCAATAAGACCCCACATCTCTCCTCTGCAATGTAAAGCAATGGATCAAAAAAAGCATTGATCTAGTGCTTTAAAAAAAAAAAAAAATGGCCGGAACGGGAAGTGACATCACTTCAGTCCTCCAAGGGCATAGAGAGTGGCGGCCATCTTTCCTTCACTCATCTCTATGCCCAGCGCCGGGATCGATGGTTTCTCAGGAAAGGCTGAGAACTACCAAGTGGCGGCAACGGCTGGCGGGCGACAGGCTTTTTTCAGCACCTGTATCAGTGCTTTTTTTTTATTTCAGCCGACGGCCAAAAGGGGTGTTTTCGGCCACCAAAATTTCACTACATCCCTAGTACGAACAGTTATCCTGTCCTTTTGTATTGTTTCCTTTGTGTGAAATCCCTACTGCTCATAACAGTCCCTCTGTGGGTTTTTTTTTTTTGTGATTAAATGTTACCACACCAAGCAGGAGAGCACAGCGTAGTTAGTTTGGCAACTAAGAAAGTATTAAAGATAGAACATTAACACCCCAGCCAGGGCAAAAATCCTTTTTTTTTTTTTTTTTTTTTTTTTTTTAAAGAGGGCCTCAACGGTGGCACCTTACATATTTGTTAATGGAGAATTGTGATTTACAAACTTTTAACATTGAAAAAAAATAACGCACACTAAAAGCTGGCAGTGTTCTTATTGATCCACTAGTGTTTGTGTTTTGATGTGCATTAAAGGTTTCCTTTTACTTTGCTTTGGCGACACCAGAACAGAAAGGGAAGGGATGAAATGTAAAAATTGTCAGAACAGAGTTAGAGAGGATATTGCTCAGTGAGGACACCTTATTTGGTGATGGGAATTCCCAGCATTTTAGGACACACTTCCTCTGTTGTGTTTCCAGTGTTTGGTAATGGAGCTTAATCTCTTCAGTGGGAACATAGACAATACAAAACCTGAGAAAGGTTGCAGTCCTCTACCACTGTATCCCTTACTAGAAAAATGTTGTATTCTATATCAAAAGAAGAAAGTTCCAAGAAAAGTTTTTATAAATTTACTGTTAATACCTGTGTTCATAAGTCGTGAAAGTGACAGTTTAGAATGAAAGATGAACAGAATTCCCATTCTATCATCTGTAAAAGAAGTATTTTAAGTTCAACTGTTTACTCAATCAAATGTGTATCTATGACAACCCAGTAATTTGGTACTGTGTAAAAAGCATAGGAATGTGTTTTCTCTGTCATACATCACATCACACAGGGCATCTTCATATCTACTATGATAGTGTTATGTTGTTCCCTTCAGGTAATCGAACACTGGCAAAAAAAATAAAATGCAGTAGTCCCCTCCCAGGTACAGCCCCTCCCAGCTAGACGTAGCCTTATGTTTTTGATAGCTTCTTAGGTGATGGTGACATTAGTGCACAGAAATATTACTTTGTTTACAGCTAGTTTTTTTTTCTCAGGATTTCCTGATGGGAGCAGGAGACTAGCTACATCTGGCTCTGTGGCTTAGAGCCCAGAAGTATAGTGCCTGGACCCCGTGTTGGACGTGCGGGAACCTTCTGTACAGGATGTCTAGGTCTAGGGTGCTGACCCCCACATGGGTAATCTTGTCTCTGAAGTCACTCAGGGCACTCCCACCAAGATTGGTGGAGTTTTGATCCCTTGAAGGTCCTATGGCGTGAATAGCAAGTGCCTCTGATGGGGGTCCATAGGGTGTCTGTACCTGGCTGGGGGAGTTTAGTTGTGTCTTATATTCCCCTAGGTATTATTATTGTTCCCTGAGTGGTTTTATTGTGCCAGATGCTCAAGCACTACACCAAAGGGATGGACCAGCGTTTTTGACGGTGTCTTTCTGGCAAAGGGTAAATGATGCTTGAACTACTGCATAGTGATACAATGGGGAGGAGTTTCATGGTGGCCAACATCTTGCCTGCTTCACTCCATGCATCGATTCTGGAGGATGCTGAATTCCTTTGGTGCAGCTTAACCTTTCACTTAGTGAGAGAGGGCAGTATACCTCTCTATTTTTCCAGGTACAGCGATACCTTTGTGTGAATAGTGTTTTAGCAAGTTGATATTACACTTTCTCCCCTTGCCCAAAAGCCCACTTCCCCTACCTCCTAAGAAGCATTACTTTCATCCGTCACAGGATGGCTCCTAACCAAAATCCAATACCCAATTCTGCAAGAAGCCTTGGACCTTAAAGCTTTCTAAGCTGACAGGGACAAGTCCTCCCAATGAAGGGGATCCCCCACTTGCTCTTTTGGGGGAAATTACAAGCTGGAGTTTCTATGCCTTTCCCTTCCACATTTTATGTTCTCAGAATTTTTATTGAATCCACAAAGAGGAGCAGTGTGCTCACACAGGGAGTGGTCACTTCAGTTCAGGTGGAAGAAAACTGTTACTGTTCAAATCTTTTCACTGTGCCCAAAGTGAAAACAGACATTTGCCAAGTTTTGGATCTAAAGGGACTAAACAAGTCCCTTTGGGTGCAAAAATTCTGAATGGTCTTGGTCTGGCCAGTGGTCACCTTACACCTACAGTTTCTGTGGTTTGCAGTGGAGAACCAACTTTTTCCCATTTGTTGTCCAGTTGTTTGGCCTCTCTGTAGCTCCCAGCTTATCCATTAAAGTGTTGGATCCAGTGTTGGCTCTCTTGCGCTGTCAAGGTATTCCCATTGGGGTTACCTGGACAACCACCTGCTCTGGGAGCACTCTCCCTCTTCTGGAGTCCAATGTGCATTGTACTCTTCTCACTTTGGAAAAACTTGGATGGATCCTGAGCCTTCCAGCAGTCTGCCTCGGTCCCAACACAAAGGCAGGAATACTTGGGCTTGATGTTAGACACAGATCAGCTGAAGGGGATTCCAACCCCCAGAAATGCCTGGCACTAGGTGCAAACTTCAACACAACACTAGCTACGTTTCTACATGAGAGTTCTGGGAAAGAAGGTCACTTCCATCGAGGATATGCCAGTTTCATTTCAGGGCTCTTTAACTGAATGTCTTGTCAGCATGGGGCAGGAGGACAGAGTCATTGGATTCTCCTATATTTCTGCACCCCAAGAAAAAATTTGTCCCTTGACTGGTGGATCCCCATTCATGTTAGAGGTAGGGAAGTCGAGTCCTAGAGAACCACGTTCAGGGAACGTGGACGTAGCAGGAAAGTACATTGCCTATCCACATCCTTGAGGGCACTTTGATTAGCCCTTCTACATTGGTCATTACAACTCGGGCCTCCCAATGAAAATCCACTTGGGACAATACCACAGTGGTGGTGTTACAGTTACAAGGGTTGAAATGGAAGTCGCACCACTCCAGGGAGCAGATATGATTTTTGCCTTGGGCCGAGAATCATGCTCCTGCTTTGACCGCCATACACATTAACAGGGAAAATTGGTAGGCAGATTTTCTCAGCAGACAACATCTGAATCCATGAGATTGGGCTTTTCACCCAGGGGTGTTCAAGGATCTCTGCAGGAGATGGGGGGATGCCAGATTTTGGCCTTCTTGCATTCCAGTTTAACACAGAACTAGACAAATTTGTCTCCCAAGACCAGGGACCCCAATGCATTTGCGGCAGATGCCCTGATGACACAGTGGGACTGGCTTTCCTTAATTTTTGCCTTCCCACTTCTACAGATGTTATCCCGACTGCTTCACAGGATATGGTTGGAGGTTATTCTGGTGAGAATGTTTGCTCTGGCCTGGCCCAAAAGGATGTGGTACATCATAAATTTGTCCATGGTCATTTCTGGTCTGTTCCAACATTTTGTTACAGGGTCCAACATTCCATCCTGCTTTACAGCTGCTGATTTTAACCAGCATGGCTGTTGAGGTCAGGGTCTTGAGAAACTCTGTCATCCATATGCTTTTCAAGGCTAAGAAGGCAACTTCTCAAAAGATTTACTTTTGGACTTGGAAGTCCTGTTTTGCATGGTGTGAGCAGCGCAAAAAAAGAGTAACCATCAAGGGACAAATTTCAGCTTGGTGGATCTTTTTCAGATGCTCATTGCCTTAGTATGTGCTTGCATACAAGGTGTCATAAGCATTGTTCCTCCAGATTCCCCTCTATAAGTACTTTCCATGTTAACCACTTGCCTACAGGGCACTTATACCCCCTTCGTGCCCTGGCCAATTTTCAGCGCTGTCACACTTTGAATGACAATTGCGCTGTCATGCAACACTGTACCCATATGAAATTATAATTTTTTTTGAGACCGAGCTTTCTTTTGGTGGTATTTATTCACCTCTGGGTTTTTTATTTTTTGCTAAACAAACCAAAAACAACTGAATTTTGAAAAAAAATAAAACGTTTTTTCTTAGTTGTTATAAAATTTTGTAAATAAGTGATTTTTCTCCTTCACTGATGTGAGCTAATGAGGCTGCAGTGATGGGCACTGATAGGCTGCACTGATAGGTGGCACTGATGGGCAGCGATGAGGAGGCACTGGTAGGTGGCACTGATGGGCATTGACAGGCATCACTGATGGGCACTGAAAGGCAGCACTCATATATGGCACTGATAGGTGGCACTGACTGACACTGTTAGGCGGCACTGATAGGCAGCATTGATGTGCACTGCTAGGCACTGATACGTGGCACTGATGGGCACTGGCAGCTGGCATTGATGACCACTGACAGCTGGCATTGATGGACACTGACAGGTGGCACTGCTGGGGCTACACTGATCATCAGGGCACACTGACCATCAGTGCCCTGATGATCAGTGTACATGTCCCCTCTGAGAGATGCCGATTACCGGCTGTCCTCTCCTCACAAGCGGTCAGTGTGACAGCTCGTGAGGAGAGAAATGCCGATAACCGTCATTTCCCTATTTACATGCAATCGGCTGCGATTGGACACAGCTGATTACATGACCGAGCCGACATCTTCGGCTATTTCCATTGATTGGTGATCCGCACAGCGCACGCCCCCGGAGCTGCGCATACGCGGTTAGAGTGGGAGGATGTCTTATGACGTCCTCCCAGAACGAGAGAACCGCCTTGCGCCCGTCATTACCTTATATGGTAAATCTGTTTGAGCCTATGTAGGACATTCCTTAGTGCTTTTTACAAGAAAAATTATCTTTTTGATTGCCATTACTTCAGTACACAAGGTTTTCAGAGTTGGTGGGTCTTGATTGTAAAGATCCATTCCTGGTCATTCGTCAAAGTAAGATGGTTTTACGGCTTTACATCATCTTTTTTTTTTTTTTTTTTTTGGTTTGCCTGCAGTGATTTCTTCCTTTTATCTAAAACAGGATATTGTGTTCTGTCCTAATTCTAAGGCAAAGGAAGATGGGGTCTTTCATACCCTGGGTATGATTCGTGCAGCTTCTATTCGACAGTCTGACTCTATCTTTTCTGAGGGATCGGAAAAGTCCAGCAGTCTCCAAATCTACTGTTTCTAGGTTGATCAGCCAGCAGGTTTCTTAAACTGACAACTGCAAAGGAAGGAACCTGTTGTTCCATGTAAAGGCTCATTCTACCAGTAATGTTGGTTCTTCCTAGGTAATTTAACATTAAATTGGTTCTAAAGAAGGAGTTTGTTTTTTTTTAACCTTAATACATTTTCTGCAATAAAGGATAAGTTCACCTTTTTGAGAAAACGTTCTGTGTTCCACCCATTTTTAGGGTGGAACATGTAACATATTCCCACTCTTGCAGACACTCCCGGATCTAAACCTTCTGTGTGACAGCATGATGAGAGATTTTCTCCCCCCTACCCGCTGTTACTATTTGAAAACAGTGTGGCCGTGCAGGGCTCTGTCCACACATCCACATCATTTATTCTGTCAATGAATGAACTACAAGTACTGACATCCTTTGCGGCTGTCTATTTTTAGTTCTCAGTGAACTACCACGGCGCTGTTGAGCATTTTGGTAGTCCATTGAGTCTTTCTGTCATTGTGTAACAACCTGCCTGTAGGATGAATGAGCAGACGGCTTACACTGATAGTCTGCAGGAGCCCTGCATGGCACCCACAGTCTGCTGATCTCTGGTGCAGTGCTTTCCAGGCTCCTAAAAAAAATAAATAAATGCACTTTTTTTTTTACCTGCAAAAAAAGTGCATTTATTTATTTTTAAAGGTGTATTTATCCTTTAAGGTAGAAAGCATTTAATGCTCAGCCCCCCAGTATTCGCTTATACTTACCTGAGCCTGATCGTGATCCAGCGATGTGCATGAGAGCAGAGGCTCTGTCCGTTCTCACACTCATTGGCTCAGAGACAGCACTGGAAGCCATCGGCTGTCGATGCTGTCGGTTACAGCCAGTGAAGAAGGGAGCTGCAAGGCTGCTACCTGTTCTTTTTTCATACCTTTACTAAGTTTAACCAAGTCGATGTTTGGGTCTCTATGGATGCTACCTTTGGGAGAAAGGTCTTGCAGGCAGCTTTGTGAGGTTCTAACCTGTGTTGGTTAAGTGTTTGGGGGCATGTTGCACTCCCCTCATTCAGTGGTTTGGGACATTCCTATAAAATGGATATAGGATCCTACCTCTCTTCTTTTGCTGTTTGTGGCTTGCTGCAAAACTAAGGCTATGCCTAGCTTGCAGTGGTTATGCTTGGAAGGGGATTACTGTCTTTTTTTGCTACTGTTCACTCTCACGAGGAGGTGGCAGTTTTACCCTATTTAATGGATATGAAGATACTCTTGTTCCTATGGTATACTCCAGAAGAAACGGAAAAAGATTTTACAGGTAAACCAAAAACTATGTTGACCGTTTTTGTAAATTGTTCACCAAGGCGTTAACCTGGTTTGCAGACTTTGAAGCATACACAATACAACTGTGTAAATATCTAGTTAATTCAGTAAGGTGTACACATCATTGTTTTTTTTGTTTTATAGAAATCCCACCGGCACAAGAAAAAACATAAGAAAGAAAAGGATGATGCAAAGGATGAAAAAAAGTCACGCAAAAAGAAACATCACCACCACCACCCACCACCATCATCATCATCATAACGAATCGCATGAAGGTGACCACACTGAATCTGTGCAGAATGGCACCTTGGACGAAGAGGAACAGTTACCAGTGAGTTGAACAAAAATATGTTCATTACTTAATGGCTGAATAAAATCAGTTATTAAGCGGATTACGCTGTTCATGTATTTCTTCCAAGTTTCTGTGTATTCATGTAGTGTGTGTGGAAAATGGTTTTGGGTGCTGCCCCAGGTGACTTCTTCTTCACCTAGGAGATGCTTTAGGTGAAGAGTGTAGTTACCCATGGCAATAAGGTACCTGCTGCCAGAAAAAAAAAATGCAAGTCTGTGGGGATGGCAGGGAGAGAGGATGAAGAAAACTGCTTTTAATTTTGAGTGAAGATCTGCTTTAAGGTGCCTACAAAATTCTTCCACTGTTTACTTGCATATTTGAAGATGTTTTTATTTCCACAACATATTTGTTTCCATAAAGGTTTTTAACCCCTGCGGTTAACCCCCAAACCTAGAAGACCACATCACTTTTAGTTCAGTTTGTACCCTTTGAGTAACCATTTGGGTTTGATGGCACCAGCTGGAGTGTAAACCATGTAGCCCTCCTAGTCACAAAAACACCTAAATGTGTCAAGATAGCTGTCCTAATGTTGATACAACATAAATCATCCTGTGACCATTTACTATGTGCAAGGCTTTTATTTTATGAGTTATTTTGATTACCTGTAGTCAGTGGGTTTTTTCCTTTAATTATGAACATCTCCTTGGAGTACTACTTTGAGACGCACACATAATGCCCTTACTGTTTTGTGATTCATTAATGCTTAAAGGTGCAGTAAGAATTTTATATACTTATTTGTGAGGCAATCTTTGTAAATGGACATATTCTTTATTGTTAGAATGGTGGTGTTGATCGTGTCTAGGGGTGGTACTTTTTGTGTGAGGATTACATGTCTCTTTATTTAAGGTTTGGCCGATAACAAATGTAAAAAGTCTACTTTCAAATTACAGGTTATGGTGAAATAATTTGGTTTTGACAGATTGCAGAAGATTTTCTAAATATCTTGTTAACTTTGCATTTTAATGTGGTGACTTTACATTCTTGTATTGGTTTTTTCACCTTCACTTTTTTTTTTTCTAGTCAATGTCCAGTTATTCTCTTTTGGCAGAAAAACAAATATATCAAAATGGTAAGTGTGAAGGGAAAAAAAGAAATTATGTGCAATGAGCTTTGACATCCAAGTTATAGAAGACAGTATGGAAATTCACACACAGTTGTGATTTGGTTAATACCTGCCCTTGGAGAGAACATTTAAGGACTAACCTTGCTTTCTTTGGCAGTGTAATGTGAAGTTCTCAAACATAATATTATATCAGTTTGGATTTCCAGTATTAAAGCTTTTCATGTTACATTATTAATTAGAGCAGGGGTTAAAATTTTGAGTCCAGACCTACTAGCCGGTCACAAAACTTACTCTCTATCAGTTGCCCCACCCAACCTTGCCCAGGTCCGCCCCCAACCCCACCCTCGGCCCAGCCCCAACCACGCCCCCTTAAAGCTTATGAAATTACATTTTTCTTTAGAATAAATAGTCCAAAATATAAAACTGTACACAGTAATGTATATCCCATCTCCCCTGTACTCCATTATAGTGATATGACATGTATACAGTAATGATTACTGTATACATGTCATATCACTATAATGGAGTACAGGGGAGATGGGATATACATTACTGTATACATGTCATATCACTATAATGGAGTACAGGTGAGCTGGGATATACATTACAGCTCCCCTGTACTCCATTATAGTGATAGGACATGTTGTATAGAGTACTTACTGTCCCCCGCGTCGGTGGAGAGGGTGTCTCCTCTCAGCGGAGGAGAGCGGACCTCTCCTGCACCTGTCCCCTCAGCGGCAGTGCCACAGATTCCGGAAACCGGAAGTTGTAAACCGGAACTTGACTTCACAATGAGGCTTGGAGCGCAGGTGCAGTCGCTCCATGCTTCATCTGTGCTCACCGCTCGCCACAGAGGAATTTTTCCTCGCATTTGGCGAGCGGCTTTTTCAAGCCCTGAATTAGGGTATAGTCTATTCTATTCAAAAGATCTCAGGTGCTTGCAGTACATCTCTTAATACTGTATGTGACCCTTTAAATAACAACCTCATCTGTCCGACTTATGTATGTCCTTTCCCTTTCTAGAAGTGAAAAAATTAAATAAGTTATGACTGTAATTTTTTCAACAAGTTGAAAAATCTCTGTGCAGTAACAAGCAATTGCATATAATGCAATATAGATAATCCCTTCAGGTCATATTGTCCGAGCGTCATGGGTGACACTCATATAAAGTCACAATTGACCATTTAAAATTCATTTTGTCAGGTAAAGTCATCTTCTTTTTTTTTTTTGCTAGCATTTTTTATTTCTTTTGAATCCATGTTCTTCAAAATTGCTGCCTGAGCTTGTCTCTACAAATAGTAGCTATCTGGATTGGCCTTTCCGCAGCCTGTCTTTTTATTGCCATACCCAACCATGCCAGACTGGATGTGCATGTCTAGACTGCAAGTGACCTTTCATATTAGGCAACTTCCAGACTCAGTTCTTTTAACAGGTTGGCTATAAAGTGATTTCCATGTCCAGGGCTGTTGGTGTTGCCTCTGCTTGCCCTGTTTCTAAAGACTCACTCTAAGTGGACCATTTGGGCTAAGCACCATGAGCTCCCATGTTGTTGCACTGTGTTCCTTTGAAATTCCCCTTATCCGCTGATTTCTCTGTGAAAGGGGTTGATGCTGAAGGACTGAGCACTGACATCATCCTGTGGATGGAGAGTTGCACATGCATGAGCTCTGCACATTCCTTTTCCTCATTCAGCATCAGTCCTTGGGCTGGTCCCACTGCCTGCCTACAGCAACCTGGGCACCTCTGCTCATCTTACCCTACACTTTCTACATGTGTCTGGGTTCTGTGTGTACCCTGAGCTACACTGCTTGACACTCCACTAACAACTGCTTGCAGTGTTCCTACTGATGTTACTGACAATTGTGGTGTGAAGTTGTCTTGCACTCTGCTTTTGATTCTGTGTTATCTTCAGAGCCTTCCCTTGCTGGGTTTGGCCTCCTCCTCTACTCTGAGTTTCTCCAATTTCTTACAAATGTGCCCCTAAATAGTCATGGTCTTCTGTTTCTGCACTTATTGTTGCACTATACACCACTTTGAAGTTGGAGGATTAGACTTTTGCTTCCACTAGTGCTGTTCCTAGTCGTGAGTCCTTTAGAGCTCCCAAGATTGCCAAGACCATTCAGGTGCACACGTTATTGCAGGTCTTCCTTAACAGAGACTGGAAACACCTGGACAGGATGCTTGTTTCCCCACCCCCCAAGCGCTTACTAGCTTTGTACCCTTTTGAAGGGGAGTTTTCATTCCAGAAGATGATGCACCTGTCTTCAGGGACCCCCACCGATAAGTGTTTGGAGGCCCTCTCTAGAGTTCTGCTCTTGCTAGAAAGAACTCCTCTTCACCCTGTGACCTTGATTTGCTAAACACTGACTGACCTGTCTAAAGCTATTAGAAGGGATCTGATTACTATTGCAACTGCAGCCTTGATCATGTAACATATGGAACAAATGGCTGAAGCTCTATGCTACTGTGTTGACTGGCTGTTGGAGGCTTCTCATCTAATTTCCAACATGAGTTTCTAGTCAGTAAATGGAGGCAGTTTTGGCTACAGTGTTGAACTTCAAAACCTGCATGTAGAAAAAAAACAACAGATTGCTCACTATGGTCTCCAAAGGACAGTGTCTCTTAGGTTACTCCACATCAGCCAATTCAGGTTACAAACCCATGATTGGCTTCCAGCTCACCCACAAGGATTGAAGCTCTAAGTTTTTGCTTCCATAAAATCTTCCATCTGAAGGTGCATCCATATTTTCCAAAGTGGGAGAACACGTGACTTTTGCAGACAGCTTACATCTCAGTGGAAGAATGTTTTCATGGGTACTATGCCAACTTGTTCGTGGATCCCAAATCCAAAGGAAGCATCTGCCCCATCTTGTATCTGAGCTTTAAATTACTTCTTTCAAGTTCATGGAATTCACCAGGTCTGTCATTTCCACCCTTTACTAAGAAGACTTCCTGGTGTCTGTGGACATCAAACACGTGTAACTACATGTTTCCAACTTTCCTGCCCACCAGCAATATCTATGCTTTGTTCTGGGCCCTCTGCATGCTTTGTAACTCTGCCTTTTGACCTATGTTCACCATGGCACATGCCTCAGTAATATATTTGCTGAACTCTCAGGACACTCCCACTGTGAGATACCTAGGCAAACTCCTACTGAAGAAACAAGTCTACTCAAGTTCTGAACTACAACCTAGCCCTGACTGCCCAAACCTTGCAGAGGTTTGGGTAGATCCTAAACTTTCATAAATCAGTGCTGGAACCAACTCATCACCTGGAATACTTAGGTCTAGTGCTAGACCCAGAAAATGCCAGAGTTTTTCTTCTTTAGGAAGAAAGTTCAAGGTCTTTTCTGCCAGACCCGTACCTTTTTAGTCCAGGACTTGCCTGGCTCTTCATTTATTCATTGGAGTCCTAGAGCTCATGGTGTAGCCTCCTTTGAGGTAGTCCCATTTGCCCAGTTTCACTCCAGACCTCTACAACACAATATTCTGATGTTATGGGACAAGTCAGTCCAGTCCTTGAACAGATCAATTTGTCTGGCATTCAGGACTAGGTTGTCCCTGGCTTGGTGGGTCTGGAAACTAGGTGGTTCGTCCTTCCTGTTTTTGGAAGGTCCTTGCAACCAGTTTGTGGACCCTGTAAAAGTCATAGGGCATTCTGGCAGTGCAGGGGACTTGTGTGTCGGAAGAATCTGGTCTCCTGATTGACCTCTTGGAGCCTCAAGTGATATGTCTATCTTTGTAGCACTGGACCACCCTTTGATCTAGATTTGTATGAACAACAGCATAGTAGTGTATACATCAACCATCAAGGAGGGACCCGAAGCCTCACCGCAGCAAGAAAGGTAGAGCAGATCCTGTCTTAGGCAGAACTTCACTTTCCAGCTTTGTCAGCGGTTTACATCCCAGGCCTGGAAAATTGGCAGGCAGACTTCCTCAGCTGCCAGTGTCTGGACCTGGGGGGGGTGGATCCTACACTCATATGGAATTGGTGGATTCTCTGACCTGATAAGACTCCTGGTGAATGCTCTGTGGTTGTCAGAATCTTAACTCTCAAGAAATGATTTACAATCCTACTTTACAATCACAGGCTTTAATGGCATGGCTATTGAAGCCAGGGTCCTGAGGGACAGGGACAGGGACATCTCTGATCTAGTTATTTCCATGAGGCTAAAAGCCAGGACGTCTTCTTCTCTTCAAGGTCTATTATCATACTTGGAAGGCTTAGTTTGTTTGGTGCAAGACACAAGTCTTTCACCCCAGGAATTTTTCTGCGGGACAAATCCTTTCTGTCCTATAGTTGGGGTTGGACCACCATTTGTCCCTCAGCACTATTAGGTCAGGTCTCTGCTCTTACTATCTTGTTCTAGAGATTGCTGGCTCCTCACTCGATTATTTTCTAACCTTTGTTACAGGATATCTCCTTTTTATTTTGTAACGTTTGCTCAGCATATCTCCCATTTGATTTCCCGTGCTCACTCCCCTGTGACTTCAGATCTCGTTCACTCAGCACTCCAAAAAACACAAATTGAACTCATCTGAGATTTCTCTATTACCCACAAGGTGGAGTTTTTCATAGCTATCATGTCTGCAAGGCGAATATCTGAGCTGGCAGCATTAGTCGGTAAAGAACCTGTTTTGATCTTGCACAAGGACAGGCCCTGAACTTCCTTTTTCACCTCAACCAGATCATCATTCATCCTCCATCTCTCTGGCTGTATTTCATCCAGAAATTTTCCTCCTTTGTCAGAGTGTGGTTGAGGTTTTTAAGAGCCTAGTATCAGTTACTGTTGCCTTCAGAAAGGCTAAATTCTCTTGTCCTACCAGATGGCCCCTGTAAAGTTGAACCTCTTCTTCCACCATCTCCTGGTTGCTTAGACAGATTACACTGTTCAACAGGTAAAAAGTTTTGGGCATAAAATTAGCTAATCTTACATAATTTTGGGGTGCTGAAAACGAAAATGACCCTAAAAAATGTTGATTGGCTCTAGTTTCCATGATATATTCACCCATCTAATGACGTAAGACATTCAAAATTATGATGCAACTTCAGCTGCATATTGCGCAATTGATACTGGTGACCAATAGAAAATTGCATGTATACTGAGATGATGCAATATTAGCCTTTAATTGCATCACTTCACTGCATAAAAGCTGCAGTATCTGTAGCTGATTGTAGTTCGACAGCGTCTTTACATTTCGTTTTATGCTTATATAGGCTACTCAGTAATGCCTCGAACTTGTGTGAATAAAGCAGATAATTTCTGCTATATCTGCGGTGAAATAACTTTTATCTCCCAAAAAAGGAGGATAACAGGAATGATTAAGAAAGCCTACAACTTGTATTTTGGCTGCAAGATAGGAGACCAGGACAAGAGCTGGGCACCACATATATGCTGCAATTCTTGTGGGACGGCACTGGAGCAATGGTTGAATGGAAAAAAGGCATCTATGCCTTTCGCTGTGCCAATGATTTGGAGAGAGCCAACAGATCATGTTAGTAATTGTTACTTTTGTATGGTGCCTCCAATTGTAAAAGGGCTAAATAAGAAGAAAAAGTTATCTGTGCACTATCCAAATATTCCATCGGCAATACGTCCAGTTCCTCATGGAGAGGAGCTACCAATTCCTAAAGCACCAGAATCCTTCGTGGTTGAGTCAAGTGAGGAAGAACCTGAAGCGTGTAGTCACGTGCAGTTGTAAGAGATAGCCCTTTCCTCGAATACAAGAGAAAAGCCAAGAGAAGCAAAACCGACACAAACTGAAGACAAAACTAGTGAGAATCCTAAGTATTAAAATGATTCAACTTAGCTTATGGCTATAATTTTTCTTGGTAATCCTATGCAATATATTATGCCATTTAGGCTTTGTTATGTAGTCAATATCACTTGCTTTATATTTGTGGAAAGACATCTATCTATATAATTATTGTGCATTATGTAGTCATTACGCCTATAGTAGAAAACTTTCCGTTTACAGAAAAACTAGAGCCAATTGACAAATTTCATTGTTATATTTGAACTCAGAATGTGAAATTCATTAAGAAATGGATCCTTTTGTTTCCAAAACTGGCAAAAAATAAAAATTTGTTGAACAGTGTTATTATCCAGGCTCCTCATTTTAAGGATCAGGTTTCACTCTTTCCTGTCAAGGTGCACTCTACCAAATCTGTAAATGCCTCATGGGGCTCTCCTGCATCAGGTTGTTTCTCAGATTTGTACGGCTGCTACCTGGTTTTCTGTACGCATATTTCTAAGTTCTACCAGGTGACTGTTCATCTTATCTGGTGACAGCTTCAAGAGAAAAGTGACTCAGGTGGCTCTTTGACTTGCAGGCAGTCCCCTGTTCTGTTCTTAGTGAGCCTGTTAGCATTTTCTTTCCTGTGTTGCCCACCCCTCAGTTGCTCTGCTCTTGGATGTCCCAACAGTTAATGACTTCCTTTGTTGTGAGAAAAGAAAATTGGATTTTTGTACCAACCGTAAGATCCTTTTTATTTTGAGGTGCATTTTCCCTCTTTTTCTCTACTGTCCAATCCTCCTGTAAGCAGCAGTAAAACCTAACAATTAATTACTTCTGTGTCATTGAATGGACTCCAATAAAAGGATTTTTAAATGGATCCTATTTTGTTAGGCTACTTTTAAATTTTGATCTTAAAGCAGTAGTAAACTCAGTATAAAAAAAAAAATATATATTTTAAAATGGTCCCCTGCAGGTTTTCACCATAATGTGCTAATTTGCATGTTAGTACAATTATGGCAGACTTCAGCACAGTGATGTCACCGCTCCAGCAGGTCCTTGCCTCTTTGACCTTCACCTGGTCCTCGTTCTGGGTTCGAGCTGCCCAGCCGCTTGAGTTGTTAGGCCACAGTGACATCACTCCCGCGTATGCGCATCAGAGTCACTTTACCATGGCGCACAGTGGGTGCTGCAAGTGTGATCTGAGCACTGCTGATAGGCTGTGAAATGCCTTTATAACTGAAGAAACCATTAGGGTCTCATTGTTATAAAAATCTTGCCTGTCAGCGTTTATTTGTTTTCTATGAGAGTTTAATGCTGCTTTAAATGACACTTGTTCTTTAACTTGATGTTTGAGCAGTATTGTAAGTGAAACGCTCCTTTCATAAAAACCTTAAAGAATCAATATGCCTTATACTAATTTTCATAACAGATGTATGATATTCAAGGGGATCTACAGAAGGAGAGTCAGGTCACAGTCTCCATTATCTTAGAAAACCAGAGTCAAAGTTTCCTGAAGAACATGGAGCTCAACGTTCTGGATTCCTTAAATACCAAAATGCAGAGGCCAGAAGGATCATCTGTACATGATGGAATACCTGTACCCTTCCAGTTACCTCCAGGTTGGCTTGCCTTTTGCAACAGTAAATTTATGCTCACAAAAAAATAAAAACTGAGTAATGCTGTATGAATTTTTAGTCAGTTTTCTGTTGATTCATGTGTTCATGGTCTCATGCTTATGAATAATTGATACATATACCAGGGCCTCCAGTCATTTTGTGCTCCTGTGCTTTTTCTGACGAACTGCGCTTTTGACTGTGCAGAAGCACAAAACCGTCCTGATCTGGTATCTGTAGCAATTTTTTTTTTGAAATGTTGATGGTTATCAGGGTTTTAAAATTTGTCTGTTTTTGTTCTACATGAGTATTGAAATCCAGCTCTTAGGAGGAATGTTGTCACCAATGCAAATGCCCCATTGCTGAGAAGCAGATATTCTTGCACATTTAGTTTTAAAAATCAAGGCCCATAAAATCAAACAGTGGCAAAATCCACAATACTGTCTCATTGAAATGGAACATTAGTCAGAAAAGAAGAGTTATGGGCTGTATAGGTAAAAAAAAAAAAAAAAAAGACATTTTACTCGCCTAGGTGGATGCAGCAGCAATCCGATGCTGCATCTGTCCCTTGCTGGCTCTGCACAGAAAACTGATGAAAGACTTTGCTCAGTAGAGAGCTGGGACTAGTAGTCTCCGGGTCTCTGCCCTGAACCTGGAACCTACGTACACAGCTGATCACATGATGTGGTAAAAGCCCAATCATAGCGGATCACCGGTAAATGCAGTTGCCGGTTGTCAGCTGCACACTGCGAGGAAAGTACTGCTGATAACCGGCAATTGTCAGAGGACGGATCGGCACTGATGATCAGTGCCACCCACCTCTGCCCATCAGTGCTTAGCAGTGCCCCCCACCTCTGCCCAGCAGTGCCCCCCATCTGTGCTGTCAGTCAGTGCCGCCTATCAGTGCCCATCATTGTTGCATATCAGTAGTGCCCATCAGTGCTGCGTATCCATGCTGCCTATCAGTGCTACCTTTCAGTGCAGCCTCATCAACGCACATCAGTGAAGGAGAAAAATTACCTGTTTACAAAATTTTTATAATAGAAACGAAAAACTTTTATTTTTTTTATTTTTTGCTCTTTTTTTGTTTATAGTGTAAAAAAATAAAACACCCAGTGGCGATTAAATACCACCAAAAGAAAGCTCTATTTGTGTGAAAAAAATTATAAAAAATTCATATGGGTACAGTGTTGCATGACCGTGCAATTGTCATTCAAAGTGCGACAGCGCTGAAAGCTGACAATTAGCCTGGGCAGGAAGGGGGTATAAGTGCCCAGTAGGCAAGTGGTTATAATCCTGTAATACACTGTCTCGCTGTACTCTGCACATGCTCAGTTGCTCTCTATTTTTATGCACTGCGTCGAATTTGTAGATGCCGATCTGCTGACAGCCTAAAGATGTAATGCTACTCACAACTCTGGGCTTCAGCAAAATGGCAGCCTCCAGGTAGAAGAGATGGGAACAATGCTGGAGGCAATTTACAGCGTGCACTAATTTTGGTAGCATAATTATTAATGTGGAATGTATGGTTCATGCTGAAGAACATTACCCTTAAAAACTTGATAAAAATGAAGTTTCACTTTAACTAGGGAGTGCACAGCTGGCCTAACTATAGCAGTTTACTAAAGTAAGGATACTGTGTAATTCTCAGTAAGCAGTAACTCTTGCATGAGCAGAGATCAGTGAAGCCTAGGCTCCCAGACCAAATTTATCAGAGTCTGTTAACGTAATCACAGTGCATTGTTTTATTCAACTACTGAGAGGGTTGCACTTTTGGTGACAGCACATCTTAAAACTAGAAGCCTTCAATACTGAAAGCTCTTGGTTCCGAATGAGATTGTAGATCAAGATTGCCTTGGTACAGTGCCTCTCTCAGTGGATTGTTAATGGTCTCTACGATTGTAGCTCTCCTCAGCCTAGCTTTTGGAGTGCTGCTTGTGGATTTTGCTAGATTGGATGTTGCAGGGCTGATCTGAAAGTAACCTTTGGGTATTGGATTTTGCATAAGACATTTTCCAGACCCTGCTCTGGTAACAGGTTAGCTGCAGAGCAGTTTTCTAGGTCCGGAGTTGTTGCCATTGCCCTTTCTTTGTCAACTCCTTCTGTGAGTATGCTAAGCATGAGGAGCTGTCTCACCTGTTCAGTTTGCTAGATACATTTAAAATTACATTTTTTGTTGATTGATTCAGCAAAAGTTGACACTCCGCAACTGGGCGTTTTCGTCATTTACTGGGTGGGGCATCGCACATTCTCCCTCTCCTGCCATTCAAAACTTGAGAAAGCATCCCAGCTTCAGCTCCTGCATTGCATAGAGTCATGTGGAACTCCAGTCTTGGTCCATTCCTACTGCCCGCTAGAGTGACCATGGTCACCCTCACCTGCTACCAGCGGTTGAGTTTTGCAAGAACCTGAGGCCTTACATTGTACCCTGAGCTTTACGTTGACTTGATCAGCCTGATCAGCATACTCACAGAAGGAGTTGTCAAAGAAAGGGCAATGGCAACAACTCCGGACCTAGAAAAGTGCTCTGCGGCTAACCTGTTACTAGAACAGGGTCTGGAAAATGTCTGACATGTGTTGACAATGTATGACAGAAAGGGGATAGTCCTGCTCTTTGGATGCTGCGGCTCACCTTTTGCTAACTTCTTGGGTGTTGCTTCTAGTGCGCCTATTGATAGGGCCAACATCTGCAGCCTGAAATCATGTTGCTTTCTGCTCCTGTAGTCCATTCTATCTTCTGTTGGGTATGGCCAGCTCCTGAACCCTTTCCCAAAAGGTTTTTACGACAACCACGCATGACTTGACGTGTATGGCAGTTCAACAGGAACCAGCCAACTTTCAGCCCATGTGTAAAGCTCCTCATCCAACACCCGATAGAAACTGGTCTCACGACTGGCTCCTGTCGAACAGGCATGGTGGAGAGCCAGCATCCGATCGACATCTTATCAGCGCTGGAAGCCCACTGGGTTGAACAAAATAAAAAGTATTAGTCATCAGCTGCTCTGTCCGATTCTGAGTCACTCCCATCTGTGGCAGGTAAGCTTGCCTCAGAATTCACAGCTTTCTGTCATTACTCCTGTTTTTGGCTCTTATGGAAAGTAGAGGACCTGCCTGTAGCTCTACCAATGCTGTTCCAAGTCTTAGACCCTTTAGAGCTCTTAAAGCGGAGTACCCCTCCCGCTGTCAAAAAATAAGTCAGCATCTACAAAAACTGTAGCTGCTGACTTTCAAAAAACAGCCACTTAACGGTCTCGCAGTGTGTCCCCTGCAGCCCGTTTCACCGGCCGTCCTGTATTCCAGGAAGCCGGCATCTTCAGTGTGGGCACCCGGCTGTGATAGCTTGTGGCTTTACAGTTGGGTACCCACTGCGCATGCGCGAGTAGCGCTGCGCTTCATGAATGGTCCTGTAGTCTTCTGGAACCTGTCATGTGTCCCAAAAGACTACAGGGAGGGAGGGAGGACACCTTCCGATTGCCTTGGCGATTGGACCAGAAGTGGGAGCAGGTACCTATCAAATTTGGGTACCCGCTCACCCTGCACCCCCCTCCAAGGTGCCAATCCTTAATGGGGAGCAAGGGAGCAGTGCTTAAAGTGGAACTTCCCCTTTTGGGTGGAGCTCAGCTTTAAGATTGCCAAGGCTTGCCTGGGTGCACCAGCTATTCCAACTCAGCCTCTATGGAGACTTGAAACGCCCTGACAAGGTGTTTGCTCCCCCTAAGCACTTTTAACCTTCTACCTATTTGAGGAAGACAGTGGAATATCCCCTTTGTGGATGACCACCTTAAGAGCAGGTGCTCAACTGAAATTGTGGCCATTTTGTTGAGGACCCAACCAATAAGCAGTTGGGAGACCTTGCTAGATCTCTGTTTTTCACTGGTGGGCCCAGCTCAGTCTTAACTCTGACTTTGCTTTGCCAAACTCTGCCTGTCTGGTTACCGTCTAATAAAAGGGATCTGATCACTACTGCAGTTGATACCTTAATCATACAATGTTTGGAGCAAATGGTTGTAGAGTTAAGATATAGGCTGATGAAGATTTTCTGCATGGGTCTCCTATCAGTACTCATGCGGAGGACACTTTTTTAAAGTGCTGGACTGGGGAACCTGTCTCTATGAAGCATTTGCTCTGGTGACTTTAAAAGGGGAGAGTATTTCTCCCACTCTACACTGGATACCATCATTAAGGACACTATTGGTGGCAAGAGCACCCATTTGTTTTAGCCAAAAGAAGCCTAAGGTACAATCTGGGAATGTTCATCCCTTGCTGGAAGTTAAGAAAAGTCCTTTTCTTTTTTTTTTTTTTTTTTTTACCCCACCTCTGCAACCTCTTACGTTCAAACCAGGGCTTGGCTCTCAGTTCACCTGAAAGGCCTGAAGCTCAAAGTCATCTCAACTCTCAGAGATCTTTAACATGAAGGTGCGCCTCTACTTTCCAAACTGGTGAGGCATCTATTAACCTTTTGCAGACACTTGGGCAGCTTGCATTTCAAATGCTTGGGTGTATAAGGTGGTTTACAGAGGCTACAAGCTTAGAGTTCTGCTTTCAGCCTCCTTTGTTTATCCCTTTCAACCTTCGTTTGTCACCGTAATTATTAGCAGACCACTAGGTTGCCCTCTCGGGTCTACTGGATCCTGTGGCAGAACAGTTTGAGAGGTTTTACTCCAACCAATTTAGGGTTCCCAAATCCAAATGAAGCATCCCCCCCTTCCATTCTGAATCTCAAAGCTCTGTATATCTTTATTCTAGCTCAGCCATTCCATTTAGAATCCCCCTGATCTGTCATCGCCTCCCTTCAACCAGGGAGACTTCATGGCTTCCCTGGACATCAAGGATATGTCCCCATATTTCCATCGCACCATTGTTTCCTGCTATCTGCCATTCAGTCTCCCTTCTGCACCTCAAGTGTTCATCAAAGTGCTTGCCCAAGTACTAGCTATTTATGCTGTGCTCTCAAGGCATCCCAATTGTGGCACGCAATGACAGCCTCCTGTTGAGGGAGCAGGAGGCACAGGTTCAGTTGGACAATGAAGCCTTCATTGTCCATACATTATACAATTGTTCAGGTGGATCCTGAATCTTAAAAAATGAGCACTGAATTTGAATCATTGCTTGGGATACCTAGGTCTAGTTCTAAATGCGGCTCAGGCTAGAGCCTTTCTCCACCAAGGAAAGATTTGAACTTTTTGCTTCCAGACTCCAGTGTACAGGAGACATAATCAGTCTCCCCTTTACTTCAGTCCAGGAGTTGTTCGACTCACAGTATTCTGTTGTTGGGAGAGAAGTCAGTCCTGAGTCTGGATAGACTGGTTCATTTGGCACTGAGGACTATGTTGTTCCTGGTTTGGTAGCTCAGGAATCCTGATCTGGAATCAGAAGTTCTTCCCTACCACCTTGTATAAGATCCTCACAACAAAGTTTAGCTCACCACTGTCCTGTCAATGCCAGGCATTTGGATGTCAGAGGAATCTTGTTTCCTCATCAACATCCTTAAACTTCAGGTATTTTAACTATCTATGCAGCAATGTACTATCCTGCTGAAGGGCTATTTGATAATGTGTTCAGTTGGACAATGCCACAGACATACATCATCTATCAGAGAGGTAGAGATGTTCCTGTCCTGAACAGAAATTCACATAAGGGCTTCTATTAACTCCATCCCTAGGTGGCTGAGAAAGTTCATTCTTCAATCCTATTGTCTCAAGGATTGGGTTCCACCTTTCTTTTATCAAGGTGCAGTCTTTTTGGGCCTTGCAGAATCAGTCTACGGTTCCTAGTTCTGCAAATCTGCCACCTGGTCCTATGTTCACACTTCCCCTAAGTTCTAACAAGTTAGATGCTCAGGCCTCATCTGATGCCAACTTTAGAAATAAGGTCTCTCAGACAGCTCTTTGAGCTGTAAGCAGTCCCTAGTTCTGTTTTTTTTTTTTTTTTTATTTCCCTGGGCCCTTTAGTTTTTGTTTTCTGTTGCTCACCCATCACTTGGACTGCTTTTGTATGTCCTAAAGGTATATGTGTCCCTCCTGTGTCCCTCAATGGATGATAAAAGCCATAAAATCCTTTTCTTGGATTCCACTGAGGGACACAGGTCCAACCCCCCTGTTCTTGATTATATTCTCAATACTGTTTGCTACAAAACTGAAACATGCTGGTAGTAGGAAGGTTTTAGTTTTTGGGTTTCTTTGTTTATATTTTTATTGGAAAAGTTTATGAAGGTTACAGAGGACGAATAGTTGTGAAAGGCATTTGAAAGTACATGAACAATAAGATGATCCATGTGACACAAAAGGCATGACAAAGCTAGTCAAAAACATTTCAGTATCCACAGCAACAATCAGAAGACTGATTAAAAAACAAACATTTTGATTGTTGCGTGCACACAGGCACTAATATGTTTAAACTTTGGCGTAAACCAGTAAAGAGAGAGTAAAGGGAATAAAGTGGAGAAGAAAACCGGAGGGTAAAGAACAGACAACAAATATATTCATGCAGTCTAAAGTGATTAAATCGTTTCTGGTTGCTGTTTTGGAGTGTTGGAACCACAAACAATGTCTAAATACTGAGCAGTAGTTTTAAACTTGAACCAACAAGCTTGTACCTTGGTGTGTCGCTCTGGCGTTAATTGTGAAGTATGTGTGAAATCCTCCATGAGACAGATGGTATCTGCCTTACGGAGCCATTGGACGATAGAAGGGTTCGTTTTTTGCCCCTAAAATGTGGGGATGTGGGATTTGTGATTGCAGAGTGATAAACCGTTTATATCGATCGGTTGTACAATGAAATAACATAGTCCACGGGTTGGACTGTACTGCAGAGCCCTATATTAAAGCAGGTAAACGTAATGACTCGCACCAATAAGGCTGGACTAGTGGGCAGTGCCACCACATTTGTGCATAATGCTTCTTCCATGCATTCTGTCCAGCAAAGAAGGGAGTAAGTGGGAAACATTGCCCTTAAAGTGTTACTAAACCCAGGACCCTACATTCACTATATCTGATTGGCACTGTGCTGATCACATGCACTCTTTCAAGAAAAAAAAAAACCCTCTAGCAATACACACCAAACTGCGCATGTGCAGTGTCTCTTCACAATATGTCTCATCAGGAGATAAGAGGAGGACACTGGAAGAAAGGGAGGATCAGAGAAGACGGGATCAAACAGATTTTTACACAATGCAGAGGATTAACTCCTTCGGTTCCACGGTGACTATAACAAGCATGCTTTACTGCATATACAGACTGATTTTACTGTTCTGGGTTTAGTAACACTTTAATTTCAGTGGTGTGTAATGCCATCTAGTTAGGAGTTTATAATTAACCTAAGCTATTTTCAAAGCAACTGAGTTATGCCAAGGTTTTAACCTTGCCCCCCCAACCTTTACCAAAGAAGGCTTTAGCAGGAGTTTAACTTTTGGATGGAAGCTGCATTAAATTTTTTTTCATTAGTCTCTTGTTGCTGGGGGGGTTTTTTTTGTCATCATTGTGTCCATATTGAGGAAAGTCCACTAGGACAGGAAGTGATTGAAAATCTCTCAAACAGGGTCATAGACCACAAAGTATGATACTCATGACAGAGTTGTACTGCATCCTTCCACTATCCAAAATAAAATTTGGGTTAGAGATAACACTTTAAATTTTGTCCTAAGTGTTGTCATTTCTGTACCGCTGATCATATGTACAGTATATCCGCTGTATTGGCATACTTTGCGATTTTCTTATATTGCTAACTAATCTGATTTTTAAAGATGGTATTTCTTGTTCTTTTTACAATCCAGGTGTGTCTAATGAAGCTCAGTTTGTTTTCACTGTTCAAAGTATTGTAATGCCTCAGAAGCTCAAAGGAACACTATCGTTTATTGTAAAGGTATGTAATTTGTAAGGGCATTTTTCATAATTGTGGTGCAGGGTTTTATTTTAAACTTATAATAAGATGATCATAGCTAGTTTAGAGGTACTTTAAAGTATATGTGAACCCTAACCTTGTAAGACAACCCATTCAGTTGAAAATAGGAGAAAAAGTGGAAGGTAAAACATTTTATACATTTTTTTTCTTCTCTCATTTTACCACTTTAGTACCGGGCCAATTCTGACTTTCCCCACATATATGTAAAAATCTCTTTTAAAAGTAGCGTTATTTTTTTTTATTATTACATTATTTTTTTTACATCGTCCCTTTTAATTAATTTTTTATTTTATCAACTTTATTACTATCACAAGGGATGCACAACATCCCTTGTGATGGCATGGGCCATGTTAGGTCCTCTATATGGTGAGACCTGGAGTCTGTTAGACCTCAGATCTCTCCTCTGGCCTCCAGTGCAGCCGATCAGACACAGATCAGTTGGATTGGCAGCTTTCCTGGCCGTTACTAAACAAAGAAGAGGAAGTGACTGAATCCTCCTTCCAGATTCTCTGTTCACAGAGCGGGAGTAAAAACGTCCTTTCCTCTCTCTGTTCACTGCTGCAGATGCTACCGGTCGGATCTGTTCAGTAACTCGAATCACTTCTTTTTAACAGCAAATTGATGGCTGCAAATTTTGATACCGGGATGATCTCTGCAGGCGCAGGCATCATCCCGGTATAGCCACATCACTAACAGGACATCATATGACGTCCACCCAGGGGGAAGTGGTTAAGTGCTCACATCACCTCTGTTCTCAGCTGCATAAAGGGTTTGGAGAGGTGATTAATTGTGCAGGGGGGGCGTTTCAGCACCAATCTTGGCATTTGGAGGACAGGTAGGCTGTGCTCATAGCAAAGCCAGAAATAGGACTGTGCTGGATTGGATGTGCTGTCATGCCTAGTGTAGTCAGTTTGAAATAGGAAAGCAGAGGGACTGACAGGATCACTGGGTATTTCACACAAAGGAAGCAATGCAAAGAGAACTGGAAACTTTTTCATACAGGTACATGGTACAATATGCATATATCGGGAATTTTAAATGTTGGGGTAACATATTCTTTAAAGAGGTACTAGATAATAGGTAAAATAGCTACTTGAAACAATAACAAGCCAGCCAAATCCAGCGCTCGTAGACTACAGTGGAAACAAATAGGTGTAAATGAAAACAAAAATTCTATAAAAAAATATAAACAGTGCAAAATTTATTAAGTCCATAAATGGATCTGCAGCAGCTCAATCACTGTGGAGTGAAACACAAAAGTTTCCTGCACCACTTCACCAAGGATATGTGGAATCCCTCATGGATATGCAAAAGAAAAGAGCAGGGCGCCAGATGAATGTGTGATAAAAACAACAATACTTTAATGTAGCACACTTACATCGGAGCAACCTGTAAACAGCTCAATAAATCAAGATGGCGTGCAAATAGAGCTCTCTCCCATGAGGATGGATGGGCATCCACTGTGAGACTCAGGGGTCCGCTCGTGGGTGTGGACTGTGATCAGCTTTGAGGCACAGACAGGGATCCGCTCATGGATGGATACCAGCAGCATGTCTCCCCTCTACTACCGCCAACAGACATAAGTATGACAGGCACCGATGAGTGACAGAGTGACCTTTAGCAAGCTAGTCTGCCCAGGGGGAAGTAGAATTTTTTAGGCCGTGCACCTGGCCAAGGAACCAGTAAAAAAAAATGGGACAGTGGGCGGGGCTAGCCAAACAATGTGAACAGCTGAGGAGGCTAAGCCGTGCAATGATAGAACAGGATCATCAGGGAAAGTATAACTGTGAGAGGCCGTACAACTGCAAAGTCTTCTCCACACGGGTGAACAAAAATATAGTACACTGAATAATGACAATAAGAAAAGCTGCACAAGTTAATAGTACAATGCTATAATAATAAATAATATTATGGATAAAAAGACACAGAAACATATGTATAAACATATATGTGGTTTTTCACAAAAACCTCTCATACTACCAGTGGGGAGTTGTAAAAAGACATATATATATATTTTATATGTGTACATACATACACATGTAGATACACCCCTGGCAATTTAAAAAAAAAAAAAAAACCACGCTAATAGGTATAATAAGGTGCATTATATGATAAATAAAAATACACTTCTAAAAAATATATGAGGAATTGTACATGTGTATTCCTTTCTAAATAAATAAATAAATATATATATATATATGTATGTATGTATGTATAAAGAGAACATCCCATGTCCTCCCTAATAGAAGTCTAAATATATTATATAGCATAATCTAAAGGGCATACAGTAGGACGTAATGCATAAGGGCTAAATAATGGTGTTAATTTCAAGCTCTTCGTTGAGTCCCTAGGGTGCCAGATTCTTGAGGGTGAAAATCCAAAAAGTCTCCCTCCTGCAGAGTCTCTGGAACCTCTCGGCCAGGGAATCACAGGGAGGGATGGATTCCACCACCCAAACTCTGAGACCCTCTGTGGACTTGCTGTGTTTTGTAAGAAAATGTCTGGAGACACTGATCTTCACTACCATCCTCAATAAGCCTCCTGTGTTCCCCAAAACGGGCCCTCACGGTATGAATCGTGTGGCCCACGTACAGGAGACCACAGGGGCAAGACAGACTGTAAACCACATATTCAGTGGAACAGGAAAAAGTTTTAATAGGGTATGTCCTGCCAAAAAAAAGTCCTTAAAACTCTTTTGACGATGTTGTACAAAATGACACATTTTGCATCTAGGCTTATTTCATCGATACATGCCAAACAATTGGCAGAACATGGTAAGTGAACCTGAAAGGGGAGATGCTTGGTGTTTTATCCTACTGGGGGCAACTATGTTTTTGACATTACGCACTCTCCTGTAGATAACTCTAGGTTTATCAGCCAGGGTAGGACCTAGTTTGGGGTCTTGTAGTAAGATACCCGAATGTTGCCTAATAATACTCTCCATTTGTTTGTGCTTGTGATAATATTGGGTAATAAACTTAGCTTCAGATATACCCACAGGAGATGTGTGACTATCTTTCTTGGTAATGAAGGAACAATCCTGGTAAGCTGTATGAACCAATTCTGGATCATAAGCCTTATCCAAAAATCTGTTGATCAAGGTCTGACCCTGTTCAACATAGTCAACATCAGAAGTACAGTTTTTTCTAAGCCTACAAAACTGTCCCCTGCGGATATTCTGAATCCATTTAGGATGATAACTATCAAAATGTAAATACGATTTACCAGCGGAAGGCTTAAAATGAGTCTTAGATGTTATACATCCTTCCCTATGGGACAGTTCAAGATTGAGAAACACCAAGGATTCAGAGCTCCACACATGGGTAAATGATAGGCCCAACTGTTTACTATTACAATAACTGACAAAGGAGATGATGGAGGAGGGAGGGCCATCCCAGATGACAATGACATCGTTGATTGTTTCATCTGGCTTTTTTTTTTAACTTATGCCTTCAGTTTAGTTTTAGGGTAATTCCTGAATTATGTAATACAGTCAGTGACATCATGTGCAGAGTAAAGCTGTCATCCCAACTATTCCCACTTTGGATATATCCGGTTTTTTTTAGTTGAGCAGCAGTTAGTCTTGGTCACAGTGCCATTTTAAAATAGCATTTTTCCTGACAGCTGTCCATGACACCTGGAATCCTGTACTTAGCTCTGAAAATTCTAGGTTTCCAGTTTTGCTGCAAAGTGATCCATAAAAATACCATATATTATTCTCATTCAGATATTGTCACCCTGAAGTAATCCAGATTCCCTGTAAAGGTCTTGGTGTTGGTGTCATCTTTAAACAAGCAGTTGGTCACTGAAGCAGTGATCATGAAGTAACTAGTGATATACTGTTTACTGTAACAGGTTGCTGTTGTAACTTGTCCACATTAAGAAAATGCATTTAAAAATTTGTAGATTGAACAACACTGCCCAATCAGCTGCTAGGTGCTTGTGAAGCTTGGTTGCACATTGTAACCTCATCCAGTACAGCTACTTGCTGTGTAAAACTTTGAAGCTAGAATGTGCAAATACTAGTGTTTCGTGATTACACACATGTAAAAAACAAAAAAATTCGGCCCCAAATCTACAATTTCTGACTTCAAATATTCTTTCTTTTTTAAGGATGATGATGGCTCATCTCATGAGAAACTTGACTTCAAAATCCATTTCAGTTGTTCATCTTATTTAATTATGACCCCTTGTTACAGGTATGTTTTTTTACTCTTTCATTTTTTTTTATACACTGAAGAAACCATGCAAGTAATCACTGCAAAGGAGTAAAGCGAGCGCTAATAGATGCTAAAGCAGATGAAACACTTAAAAGGTATACCATATGCCTTCAAAAATTCTAATATAAAAAGGTAGTGCAGCGCTAAAATGATGGATGAAAGGCTAATAACATGAAAAATGCACACACTAGATAGGTGCGTTGTGTCTGAAAGAATAAAACTACAAAGATACCAATATAAACCTATTGAAACCAACTAGGATGTTGATAACAAATGTATGACCATACAAAACGCACTCCATCAAGGTATAAGATAATAGCGTATCAGATAAATGCGTTAGTATCATGAACAGCACACTATATTCCTAGATACACAGTAGTCTTATAGGAAATGAAAGTAGTCCAAATCTGTATGAAAATGATGATGCAAAACGCATAAGCCTGGAATGCATCCAAGTTGTGAGATGACATGAGCTAGAAATCATAGAGTAATAGGGTCCCAGTGTGCAGACAGTTCATGGGTGCATATGCCAATATTGTGTAAAAAAAAAAAGCGCACGCACTCACCAGATGCGCTATGGAAAAGCGCATTGTATATAATGTAGTAAATCAATCAAGGGTCCCTTCACATGGGTGATCCAAAAAACAGCCTGGGAGTGGGTGACCTTCCTTAGATGACAGGGTATCAGGACAAGCCCATACAAAAATAATTCGACCTCTTCCAGGTATTAGGAAATACGCCAGGAACCGATAAGGAATTAGAATGCTCGAAGTGGATGCTTTAATGCTTTAATGATTAAAAAAGGATATATCCAAAAAAAAAAACGTACATAAATGCAATAAACACAGGAACAATTTGGTGACAAAATTGTGTGAAAGGCAAAAAACTGACCAGCTGGTGTCATGGGGTGGCCTCCGGATCTCTGTGACCCGGTGGAAAAGACGTCAATGGCTTGCAGGGGCTCCTCCTTGACGCGTTTTGTACTAAGAGTACATTATCAAAAGGGGTATGCCTATTAGCACAAATAGGCATACCCCTTTTGATAATTTTCGTATGGTGCTTGTCCCGAAGGTCACCCACTCCCAGGCTGTTTTTTGGATCACCCATGTGAAGGGACCCATGATTGATTTACTACATTATATACAATGCACTTTTCCATAGCGCATCTGGTGAGTGCGCATTTTTTACACAATATTGGCATATGCACCCATGAACTGTCTGCACACTGGCACCCTATTACTCTGATTTCTAGCTCATGTCATCTCACAACTTGGATGCATTCCAGGCTTATGCGTTTTGCATCATCATTTTCATACAGATTTGGACTACTTTCATTTCCTATAAGACTACTGTGTATCTAGGAATATAGTGTGCTGTTCATGATACTAACGCATTTATCTGATACGCTATTATCTTATACCTTGATGGGGTGCGTTTTGTATGGTCATACATTTGTTATCAACATCCTAGTTGGTTTCAATAGGTTTATATTGGTATCTTTGTAGTTTTATTCTTTCAGACACAACGCACCTATCTAGTGTGTGCGTTTTTCATATTATTGGCCTTTCATCCATCATTTTATTGCTGCACTACCTTTTTATATTAGAAGTAATCACTGCAGCAGGGAGTTAGCTTGGTGCCATCACAGCACAGTGCAGCAGGTTGTACATGTATATGTGTTGGCACGGCGTTAATTCCCACCTTCATACTGACACGCATAATGTGTACATCCAGTAACAACAGGTTAAAGCACATGTTCAGGCCAAAAAAAACATCTAGTACATATAGAGTTGTACAAATTCTGCAAGTACAGAAATACCTGTTGATCTGACAGAAATGCATTCAGCTATTAAATCCTGTTTTGGGATGACAGCACATAGTATTTAAGTATACCGAGTGCTCAAATCCTCTTACTCTTCTTTTCTACATAATCTATAGTCAACTATAGAATGAGACTTGATACTCTATTTGTGGAGTATGCTGAGCTTTATAATATAAAATCCAAGCACTAACCATGCAATTTTTGATTACTTATCTTAATGAAACTCCAAAAGGGTGCTGTCTTTGCTGCTGAAAGAAGTTTTATCTATTAAGTTGTAGCTTGATATATTGCTGTTCCGATCTTTTCACAGCACAAGCTATTCACAGCATAGTAGTAAGACAGCCAGTTGATTAGGTGTTTGTGCCTTTAACTAGCATCTTTTACCACCTTTCACTTGACTTAAAAACAGATTGATTTCTTCAATGTTTTTAATGCATAGACCTGAACATAGTAAGTAAAATATACACAAAACCTTTAAAGGTCTCTTATGCCTTATAAAATGGTTTTCTTCAACTTACACCTCGGTCACATCAAAGCCGATTTTGAAATTGTGCGACTTACAGAGAAGTCGCACGATTTTAAAGTCGGGTGACTTGCTGATTTGAGGTGCGATTTGCAAGACATCTGACACAGATGTCTATGCAAATCTCACTAAAAGTACTGCATGCACAACTTTTAGAAATCGGTGCGGCTCCGACTAAGTCAGAACCACACCGATATGACCGCTGTAATAGCGGACGATAGGGTGCGACTTGGCATACGATTTGCAAGTGGCATAGCATGCTAATCGTATGCCAAGTCGCACCCGATGTGACTGGGTGCAAAGCACTAATATCTTTTTAGCCAATCAAGTAATATTTTGTTAAAAGTAAAACTGAACTGGGAAGATAAATAAAAATAGTGCACAAGATATCTTGGTTTATATTTTTAATCCAATTCTTCCCTCTAGTGATGCTTTTGCCAAGCTGCTGGAGTCCGAAGACCTTAAAATGAGTTCTTTGAAAGTTGAAGATATAACTCTGTCTTTCCATCATCTGTTAGCAAAAATCTGCTTCTACCACCACTTCACAGGTGAGCACTACATCTATTAATTTATAGTGTTCAGCTTAGTTTGGTATTGTATCCTTTTCTTATGCAACTTATATCCACATTGTGTTTTCAGTGGTTGAGCGAGTTGACTCCTGTGCATCGATGTACAGCCGATCAATCCAGGGCCATCATGTATGTCTGCTGGTGAAAAAGGTATTGTGCCAATTAGGTGCTGCTTGTTGAATAATCAAAAATAAGATAGATGTGTTTTAGTGAAAGAGTTTCTTACAGGATATGCAACACCAACAACAAAAATGTAATATATTGCAACTTACCAGTCCTTAGATGTGGCAGCTGCATTATTTTTCATTTTTCAGGCTAAGAACAATTTCTGCATGTGCAGAAAATATTTCCTGATGCTATCTGAAATGCAGTGTCTGTTACTTCTTTGAATTAAATTGGTATATAAAACCTCCTCCTGCAAATGACTATTCTTCTAACCCATTAACATGGAGATGGAGACGTGCTTGAATTTCAAGCTTCAACACAGTGGTGGAGAGAACTTGGCACCCCAGAAACAGGTTTTGTGTTATTTGCAGGATTACCAGGGGGAAATAAAAGAAACACAGTCTGAAAATTAACACTAATGCAGCCACCACATCTAAGGACTGGTAAGCTGCAATAGAGTACATTTTTGTGTGTTTAGATGCTCTTTATTTGGTATTAAGCATGTTGTTTGTTCCAGAATTTTTACAGTACTCTGCAGTAGTTAGTACTGTTTTTTTTGGGTTTTTTTTTTTTTTTTTTTTAAGTACAGTACTAACTACTGAGTAAAACTGTAAAATTCAGCAATAAACTTTTTTCATGAGCTGTTTTAAAATTTATATTCTAATAGAAGTTGTATCAAAATGATTTCTCCCTAACTCCTATTGGATTTCACATTATGCCCAGCAGGATATATTCCCCCTGCATTTAGATGGCTGTTCTTCCCCTGTGAGCTATACTCCTTTTACCAGGCACTAAACCTTCAGTCTTAGCTTAGTGTCTCTAGGAGGAAGAAAGAGTTGACCCCCGGGTCCAGTTTTTTAATACTATTTTCATGATATAAACAAGAAATGTGGATTTTATATTTATTATTTCTTTAGGAAAATTTTAACTTGCTTAGTCTGTAGTAGGGTTGCACATGTACGGGTACCATTACTTGTGCTCAAGTTCTCAGCACATACCTTTGCAGTTCAGTTTGAGCCCATACAAAATGAATGGGCTCAAATCACACTACAAAGAATTGCATGTGATTTGAACTTGAATGTGGTGCAATTCCTGTCTGAATCGCATGCGTTTCCCCTACGGATGCGGTGCAATTTGCAGTGCGATGTGAGCCATACAAAATAAATGGCTCAAATCACACTGCAATTCACACCATACCCGCAGGGAAACTGTATGTGATTCGGACAGGAAGTGTACCGTATTCCTGTTCAAATCACAAGCAATTCTTTGCAGTGCGATTTGAGTCTATTCATTTTGTATGGGCTCAAATCGCACCACAAAGGTATCCGTTAAAGGTATCAAAGCATTTGCACGAGTACGAGTAGTCGTGCAAATGCTTAGTATCGTTAGAAGTACAACCCTAGTCTAAAGAATTCAAGCTAAAACAATACTATTGCCCTTTTAATATTAGAGCAGAATTTTGTTGCACATTCTATATATGTTTAAGGGTTATATTTTATTCCATTCCCTTCTGCATAGCATTGTCCTGAACTCCCAGACTAAAGATTTACTGATAGTGTCCTGTGTCCAACGAGCACCTCGCCTTTAGTATATACAGTGCCTTGAAAAAGTATTGATACCCCATGAAATTTTCCACATTTTGTCATGTTACAACCAAAAATGTAAATGTATTTTATTGGGATTTTATATGATAGACCAACAAAAAGTGGCACATAATTGTGAAATGGAAGGAAAATTATAAAACCGTTTTCAAATTTTTTTTTACAAATATCTGAAAAGTTTGGTGTATATTTGTATTCCGCCCCCCTGAGTCAATACTTTGTCTTTATAGGTATGTCTCTACCAACTTTGCACATCTAGAGAGTGAAATGTTTGCTGTCAGATTGGATGGAGAGCGTCTGTGACAAGCCGTTTTCAAGTCTTGTCACAGATTCTCAATTGGATTTAGGTCTGGACTTTGACTGGGCCATTCCAACCCATGAATATGCTTCGATCTAAACCATTCCGTTGTAGCTCTGGCTGTATGTTTAGGGTCGTTGTCCTCCTGGAAGGTGAGTCTTCACCCCAGTCTCAAGTCTTTTGCAGACAAACAGGTTATCTTCTAAGATTGCCCTGTATTTGGCTCCATCCATCTTCCCATCAACTCTGACCAGCTTCCCTGACCCTGCTGAAAAAAAGCATCCCCACAACACGATGGTGTGTTCAGGGTTGATTATTATTATACAGGATTTATATAGCGCCAACAGTTTGCGCAGCGCTTTGCAATATAAGGGAGACAGTACAATTACAATACATTTCAGTACAAAAGGAATAGAAGGGCAGTGTTTTCTGCCACACATAGTTTTGCTTTTAAACCAAAAAGTTCTGTTTTGGTCTCATCTGACCAGAGCTTCTTCCACATGTTTCCTGTGTCCCCCACATGGCTTCTTGCAAACTGCAAACGGAACTTCTTATGGCTTTCTTGCAACAATGGCCTCCTTCTTGCCACTCTTCCATAAAGGGCAGATACAGTCAGGTCCATAAATATTGGGACATCGACACAATTCTAAAATTTTTGGCTCTATACACCACCACAATGGATTTGAAATGAAACAAATAAGATGTGCTTTAACTGCAGACTGTCAGCTTTAATTTGAGGTTATTTACATCCAAATCAGGTGAACGGTGTAGGAATTACAACAGTTTGCATATGTGCCTCCCACTTGTTAAGGGACCAAAAGTAATGGGACAATTGGCTTCTTAGCTGTTCCATGGCCAGGTGTGTGTTATTCCCTCATTATCCCAATTACAATGAGCAGATAAAAGGTCCAGAGTTCATTTCAAGTGTGCTATTTGCATTTGGAATCTGTTGCTGTCAACTCTCAAGATGAGATCCAAAGAGCTGTCACCATCAGTGAAGCAAGCCATCATTAGGCTGAAAAAATAAAACAAACCCATCAAAAAGATAGCAAAAACATTAAGCGTGGCTAAAACAACTGTTTGGAACATTCTTAAAAAGAAGGAACGCACCGGTGAGCTCAGCAATGCCAAAACACCCGGAAGACCATGGAAAACAACTGTGGTGGATGACCGAAGAATTCTTTCCCTGGTGAAGAAATCACCCTTCACAACAGTTGGCCAGATCAAGAACACTCTCCAGGAGGTAGGTCTATGTGTGTAAAAGTCAACAATCGAGAGAAAACTTCACCAGAGTGAATACAGAGGGTTCACCACAAGATGTAAACCATTGGTGAGCCTCAAAAACAGGAAGGCCAGATTAGAGTTTGCCAAACGACATCTAAAAAAGCCTTCACAGTTCTGGAACAACATCCTATGGACAGATGAGACCAAGATCAACTTGTACCAGAGTGATGGGAAGAGAAGAGTATGGAGAAGGAAAGGAACTGCTCATGATCCTAAGCATACCACCTCATCAGTGAAGCATGGTGGTGGTAGTGTCATGGCGTGGGCATGTATGGCTGCCAATGGAACTGGTTCTCTCGTATTTATTGATGATGTGACTGCTGACAAAAGTAGCAGGATGAATTCTGAAGTGTTACGGGCAATATTATCTGCTCATATTCAGCCAAATGCTTCAGAACTCATTGGACGCCGCTTCACAGGGCAGATGGACAATGACCCAAAGCATACTGCAAAAGCAACCAAAGAGTTTTTTTAAGGGAAAGAAGTGGAATGTTATGCAATGGCCAAGTCAATCACCTGACCTGAACCCGATTGAGCATGCATTTCACTTGCTAAAGACAAAACTGAAGGGAAAATGCCTCAAGAACAAGCAGGAACTGAAGACAATTGCAGTAGAGGCCTGGCAGAGCATCACCAGGGATGAAACCCAGCGCCTGGTGATGTCTATCCAGACTTCAGGCTGTAATTGACTGAAAAGGATTTGCAACCAAGTATTAAAAAGTGAAAATTTGATTTATGATTATTATTCTGTCCCATTACTTTTGGTCCCTTAAAAAGTGGGAGGCACATATGCAAACGGTTGTATTCCTACACCGTTCACCTGATTTGGATGTAAATACCCTCAAATTGAAGCTGACAGTCTGCAGTTAAAGCACATCTTGTTCGTTTCATTTCAAATACATTGTGGTGGTGTATAAAGCCAAAAATATTAGAATTGTGTCGATGTCCCAATATTTATGGACCTGACTGTATATGGATTGCACAACTAATAGTTGTCCTCTGGACAGATTCTTCCACCTGAGCTGTGGATCTCTGCAGCTCCTCCAGAGTTACCATGGGCCTCTTGGATGTTTCTCCGATTATAGCTCTCCTTGCCCGGTCTGTTAGTTTAGGTGGACGGCCATATCTTGGTAGATTTGCAGTTCCATACATCATTTTTGGATGATGGATTGAACAGTGCTCCGTGAGATGTTCAAAGCTTGAGATACTTTTTTTTAATAACCTAACCCTGCTGTAAAATTCTCTGCAACTTTATCCCTGACCTGTCTGGTGTGTTCCTTGGCCTTCATGATGCTGTTTGTTCATTAATGTTCTCTAACAAACCTCTGAGGGCTTCACAGAACAGCTGCATTTAGGCCAGGTTCACATATGTGCGGCTGTGCGAGCCGTGATTTGCGCGGGCATGAGAGCCTATTCATTTGAATGGACACGCAGGGAAGAAGTCCCTGCACTTCTTCGGAAATCGCAGCCCACATGGGAACCGAGGTTCCAAGTATGATTGCGATTTCCAGTGCGGGTGGTGTGCTATTAGAATTAATGGCAACCTTCCGCGGGTCCCGCATTCCTCTGTGTGGGTGGTGCAGCTGCAGGTATTTGTGCGGGTCCCGCAGCGGCACCATCCGCACAGATGTGAACCAAGCCTTATACTGAGATTAAATTGCACACAGGTGGACTTTATTTACGAATTAGGTAACTTCTGAAGGTAATTGGTTCCACTAGATATTACTTAAGGGGCTGAATACAAATGCACGCCACACTTTTCAGATACTTATTTGTAAAAAATGTTTAAAACTATTTTTCCTTTTCCTACCACTTCACAATTATGTGCCACTTTGTGTTGGTCTATCACATAGAATCCCAATAAAATATATTTACGTTTTTGGTTGTAACATGGGCGGTCAAGTCAAACCGGGACTTTTGTTTCTATAATAAAAGAACAAATTTTAAGGAGTGAAAACTGCATTTATTTTTCAACATACTCCCCTACTACATTTACAGTAATGCCTGGAAAGTTTTGAAATATCTGTCAGTACATTTGAACCATCCTAGGACAGTCTCTTTCACTTTGTCATTCTTGTGTTAATCGTTCCCACAGAACAATTAGTTTCTTGTGTAATTTCATGACAGGTTATGTGTCGATTATCCAGGATAAAGCTTTCCACGCACTAAATGTTCACAGAAATGACTGGTGTGGGCTGGGAACCACTATGGCCGGGAGCGTCACTGACGAACATACGGCCTTCTTTGAAATGTTTACCCCATTCAAATGTCTTATTGTGGCTGAGCTTGAAATCTTCTGTAGATATACGCAGGTTTATGCCTTCATTTGCAAGAAACTTCATCACCACACGCAGTTCCATGCACGCGCTAACACTGTTTTCTGCCATCTTGAATAATGGTCTTTGGACTGGCCTGCGACATGTGTGCCTTAATAGGACACACTTGCCACTTACACTTGGCATGTAGTACCGCCACTCCCTTTTTATACCTGTAAAATGAAAAGTTCCGGTTTGACTTGAATGCCCCTCGTATATTAAAGTATTTGTAAACCCTCACCCTGTAAAACAACCCATTTTAACTCCCTGTAAAATCCTTTTCTTGGAATGCATTAAGGCACGCTGGTCCTACCCCTGTGTTTATGATCATGTGGTTGGTTCTGCTGTGCTACAAAACTGAGGCATGCTGGTAACTAAGGGGGTTATCCCTAGACTAGCCTACAGTTTTTTTCTGTATTTTGTTTTTTCTTTCTTTTAACCTTTGGGGCAACGTAATCAGGTGGGCTGGGGTGGACACAAGTCAATGTGGTCAAATCCCTAGCAGACATAAAAAATAAATCTGCCCACAGAAGGGGGTTTTCTGCCATTAAAAAATAGCGGACACATTGTTCTAAGGCCATAACTTAACTTTGAAAAGTCTAAAATGGCTGTCTGGTTCACTATAAGAAGGCATTACTCTTATTTATGAACAACTATGTTGAGCCCCCAGATTTCGCCTGTAAGTGTTTATGCATGTGAAATCCATAACTCAGTCCCAGGTCCCATTGAAACGCTTGGAAAGTAGAAATCTTTCCGTTATTACATAGTGGCTTCAGATGTACAGAGAATTTTTTATGCTGCAGAATAACCATTTCAGCGATTTAGTAAACTTAAAAAATTACAGAAAGCATATCGCCATTGTTATATCCCTTCATAATTGCAGTTTTTATTTGTTCTTTTTTTTTAAAGGGTGAGAAGTCAATATCCATCGATGGGAAGTGCAGTGAAGCAACTTTTCTAAGCAGCCTTCTCAGCGAGATCAAGTCAACACACTAGCAGAATCCTGAGCAAGCAGGGGTCCTCTCTTATCCTATTAAACCTCTCCTCCTTTTTTTTCCTGTTACCATAAGATGCACTTGGACAGAACTGAAAGTGTAAAGACTGACCTGTAAATGCATGATCAAGCCCCACATCACCTTAGGAGGCCCAATTTTACTGAAAATTGAGACTTTTTTTTTTTTTTATCTTTTTTTCTTTTCTTTTGGTACCAGCAATCTCTTTTTAATATAAAATAGTAATTGCACCTTTGAAGATGATATTTTAATTAATACTTTGTGTTTTTCCTGTCAGAGAATCCTTTGATCAAAATGATTAAATCAATTTTTTTCTTTCAATATGTATACACTATCAGAAAACACTAGGAATTGACATATGTTTTTGGATGTTTTTAGGAGCTGCATTGCTTAATTTGCAATCTGTTTGCTTCCTCCAAAAGAAAGCGCTTTATGCAAACTTTGTAGCTCTGTAACTTAAACAGCCACACTGAGCATCCTACAAAAAGGTCTGCCGAATTGCATAATGTAACAAGACTCATTTAGTTAGGATTTATTTTCCCATGTTTAAGTGGACCAGTGCTTTTCAAACACCCAGTCATACAGGGGATTTTCAGAATGGAGGAACTTCTTCTTCATGTGAATGGATGCTGGGAAGAAACTGGTTTATTTCATCAAAAGAGAAAAGTACATTGGCATTAGTAAATCAACCCAGGTTTTCCACTGATAAAAGAGAAATGTCTTCTGCATCATTTTCAGTTTTGCATGGATACTGTAATGAGAGAATACTTATGATCCTTTATTTTGTTTTTTATTTCTATAGTCCTACTTATGTTGGGTAAAGAATCATGTGTTTCTTTTGGTCTCTTGCACAGTTAGTGGGCCAACAACACATTCCTGAGGATAATTTTGCGGGCAGAAACTGGAAAATTAATCTATTTTCCTTAGAGTGTCTTGTCTCTGTGTGTGTGTGTGGTTTTTTTTTTTTTTTTTTTGCCCAAGGTTTATTTTATGTTGGCTATGCTTATAAAGAAAAGTTGTATACATGTAAAAATATTGTGCTGTATAGTCTGTCTATCCTAAGTTAAAATGAAAGAGGCCTTTGCCATCATAGAAGCCTGACTATCATAACAAAAGTATAAATCTGCAAAGTTAAGGCTTATATGTACATGGACGTTTGCAGGCAAAACATGCCAGATGTTAAAAACATGTTTTTTCTTATGCCTGGGGAACCACAGGTGGGGTACACAGCTTTTCACTTCTATGGCCGACTGTATTCCCCCTCTGCAACTTCATGGGTGCTGATAAACGCAGTGTTTTTATTGCTAGGCTTGGCTTATGCCTGCAAATGTCTGTGTGCACGAGGCCTAAAAGTAGTTGTGATTCAGAACTCATGTTGGGATCAGTGGATATAACAGGTGGTGCCTTAACTTCCTAACATATTTCCAAGTAGGTCAGTAACACAGTCATACAAAGGACTGGTAAATAGGTTTACCTTTTGCCTAGGAAATAAAAGCCCAGGTTCTCGTTTTTTGTTGGGGTTTTTTTCGGAAGTTGTTTCATTTCTTGATATGTACTGCAAATTTATGGACTATTATACCACTATACATTATAAAGGTGTAATTATTTTACAATTAAGGAACACATGGCTGCAGCAGTAAAAACATATACAAATAATTGTCTTTTGTTTTTAATAATGTTGGTCCTTCAGGGTAGGCTTCGTCTGGACACAAACATTATAAATACGGCACCCAAAAAGTGAACTATAGCACATTTTGTATGGAGAGTGTGCATGAATATCCAAACACAAAATATTCTTGCAAGTTGCAATTTGGCAGTAATAAAACCTCAAGCAAACGTATAGGTAAACCAGTGTTACAAATCTGTACAAGAAGGCAACTTAGTACTTTCCAAAAACAGTAGAAGATTAAGCGTTCACGAATGGTCTTGTTTGCCTACATGTTCTATGTAGGCATTCTGTTGTGGTACTTATATAGTATATGTAATTTACCTTTTGCTATGTCATCACCTCTCTGCCCTGCTTTTTGGAGCATTGTGTGTCCAGATGCTATTCTCAAATACCAGGTTATCTTGAAAAGTTGGTTGAGTTTCCATTATGTTTTTTGTTCTCTTCTATGTCCCCAGCTAAATTCGCATGTAGAATATCTTCTACCCAGAACCCTGTTTGGTGATTTTAGAAGTTTTCAGTCTGTATGTGTTAAATTTGCTATTCACATTCCCTTAAGGAGGACTGAGAAAAGGTACCACAAAGGCTGCTGTAATTGTGTCAAGATTACCCACATTAAAATATGAAATGGTTATGAAATTGTGTATATCTTATTTTGTAGTTAATGCTTATATATTAGAAGAAAAAAAAAAACACAAATTCTAAGCAAATGTTACTGAGCTTCCAATGCATTCCAAGAATTCTAGGTGGGGGTGAGCTTTGGGTTCAGGATGAGCACGAGTTTCATCCGAATCCAACCTGTTCACAGTTTGGCATACAAACTAGCAATGTTTGGCTAGTACACCCACCCACCAGAACCTCCGGGTGTTGCTGAAAATCTGTCCTTTAGCTGCAGTATCCTTCCCACATCAAAATGACACATCCCCCGTCAGCTTTTTAATGTTGTAAACAAGCCAGCAGGGAACCTGGATGACATTATTAATAAAATACAGTTGTAATGATTGTGTGCAATAGGGACTTGGAAGCTGTAGGCGACAGACATCTTGTTAAGGTCTCAGCCATTTTATTTTCATGAGCAGTGATCTTACTCCCTCCCTCCTGCAAACTATAGAATTTGTAGCCATAAATTTTAACAAACTTCAAAAGAGCAGTAAAACATTGAGAGCTACAGGATGTCTGTTTCCACAAACCATGAAAAAGTCTTCCCTCTGACCTATCGTAAAACAATAACTCAGTCAAGCCTGTCACAAATGACGTGTAAGACCATTAAAGCTCTAGGAATGCAGAGCGTGCCATAAAACGTCTATTCCACAATTTAACAATTCAACATACGATATGTAAAATCCAACAGGAACAGGATGCATTAATATTAGGTATATATTTGAATGGGGAGTATCATACCAAACAATTCAAGGTCATACCTGACTATGTTAGCACATACAAATGGGGAGAAAGCAGTCTTCTCCCTCCTGGGTGACAGATCTGTCCAAGGTACGCTCTGTTTAGTATCCCTGGATAAGAAATAAAATTCTGAATATTAATCTGCCAGTTTCTAGAATACCACCTATTTGAAGCTCATATTAGTATAAAACTGTAGTTATTATTATACAGTATATAGCACCAAAAGGTTTGCTCAGCGCTGTTCATTTTAGTGGGGGACAGAACGTGAGACAATACAGTAACAAAACAGTACACGAGGGGTTCGAGGGCCCTGCTCTTTCGAGCTTACAATCTAGGAGGGAGGGGATAGTGGTACAGGAGGAAGTGGCTGTGGGGGATGGAGTGGTAGGAGGAGTGGAGGAGATTGGCTGTTAAGTGAGGGTGGGGTAGGCTTCCCTGAATAGATGGGTTTTCAGGGTGCGCCTAAAGGTGAGGAGGGTAGGTGACAGTCTGATGGATTGGGAAATTGAGTTCCAGAGGATGGGGGAAGTCCTGCAGTCGGGCGTGGGAGGAGGAGACCAGGGAGCTAGAAAGTAGGAGGTCTTGTGAGGAGCAAAGAGTACAGGTTGGGCGGTATTTGGGTATCAGGTCGGTGAGGTAGTTTGGGTCAGCGTTATGAATGGCTTTGTATGTCCGTGTTAGTATTTTGAATTTAATGCATTTGGCAATCGGAAGCAAGTGGAGGGAATGACAGAGGGGGGGAGCAGAAGCAGAGCGGTTGGTAAGGTGGATGAGTCTGGCCTCAGAGTTCAGGGTAGACTGAAGTGGGGATAGCCTGTGTTGGGGTAGGCCGGTGAGAAGGGAGTTGCAGTAGTCCAGGCGTGAGATAATAAGGGAGTGAATGAGTTGTTTAGTAGTGTCTGGGGTTAGGAACGTACGTATTTTTGGAGATGTTGCAGAGGTGGAACCTGCATGAGTTTGCCAACGATTGGACATGGGGTTGGAAAGAGAGGTTTGAGTCTAGAGTGACATCTAGGACTTTGGCTTGCGGGGTGGGACTGATGGTGGCGTTGTTGGTCGTGATGGAGAGGATGGGGGGGGGGGGGGCGCGGGCTGGTGGGAAAATTAGCTTGGTTTTGGAAAGGTTCAATTTGAGGAAGTGGAGCGACATCCAGTCTGTCGTTCAGTAGGTAGGCGATACGGGTGGAGACTGAAGGGGTGAGGGGTGGAGAGGTAAATTTGCGTGTTGTAGAGGTGATAGTTGAAGCCGTGGGAGTGTATCAGTTTGCCGAGGGAGGAGGTGTAGATGGAGAAGAGAAGGGGCCCGAGGACAGAGCCTTGGGGGACCCCAACAGAGAGGGGGGAGAGAGAGGGAGGTGGTAGCGTTATAGGTAACGCTAAAGGAGCGTTGGGATAGATAGGAGGAGAGCCAGGAGAGAGCGGAGTCTCTGATGCCAAGGGAGTGTAGTTTATTAAGGAGGAGGGGGTGGTCAACTGTGTCAAAGGCCGCGGAAAGCTCAAGGAGTAGGAGGACTGAGTAGTGGCCATTAGCTTTGGCGGTTAGCAGGTCATTAGTGATTTTTGAGTAGGGCGGTTTCGGTGGAGTGTAGGGGACGGAAGCCAGACTGTAGTGGATCGAGGAGGTTGTCAGTGAGGTGGGAGCTTAGGCGATTGTAGACTAAGCGCTCAAGGAGCTTGGATGTAAATGGCAGCAGGGAGATGGATCTAAGGTTGTTCAGGTCGGTGGGGTCCAAGGAGGGTTTTTTGAGTATGGGGGTGATGTGTGCATACTTTAAGGGGGAGGGGAATGCGCCAGTAGAGAGGGAGAGATTGAAGATGTGGGTGAGGGAGTGTAGGATGAAGGAGGAGGGTGACCGGAGGAGTTGTGTGGGGACAGGGTCAAGGGGGTAAGTGGTGAGGTGGGCTTCTGAGAAGACCTTAGTGAATC